TCTCTTCCCTCCTCTCTCTTTCTTCCCCCCCTTTCCTCTCCCCTCTCTCTTTCTTCCCCCTTTCTTCCCTTTTCTTCCCATTTATAGAACCACCATCCTTTCTGAAGAAGATCGATCCATCTTATTTACTGACCCCAGGTGACTCTGCACGCCTTCAATGCAAAATTAAAGGGTCTCCTGAAATCCAGGTTACTTGGTTCAAGAACAATAAGGAAATCCGTGAAAGCAACACACACAGGATGTCCTTTGTCAATTCTGTGGCTGTGTTAGATATTTTGGAGATGAAAGTTGATGACAGTGGGAGCTACTCATGTGAAGCTCTAAACGAGGTTGGAAGTGACAGCTGCACCACTGAAGTTCTTGTCAAAGGTCTGTTCTTCTTGCTGCTGCTGGTCTACTCTTGAGAAAAATGTTCTCTTCCTTTTTTTTTTTTTTTTTTTTTTTTTTTTTTTTTTCCCCCCTGCATGGGTGACTAATTCTTTCTCACTGCTTTTATAGAGCCTCCATCTTTCATCCGAACACTTGAACCAGCAGAGGTAGTGAAGGGAACAAACACCGTTCTTCAGTGTGAGGTTGCTGGCACTGGACCATTTGAGATTAGCTGGTACAAAGACAAGAAACAGATTCGCAGTAGTAAAAAATACAGATTGACCTCTCAGAAAGCTGTTATTTCTCTAGAGGTGTCCTCATTTAATAGTGCAGATGTCGGTGAATACGAGTGTGTGATAGCTAATGAAGTCGGGAAGTGCATATGCAGTGCAACATACGTCTTGAAAGGTCAGTAGGAGAGAGAAAACTCCACTTACTGAAGGGATTGGCAAGAACCTCTCATTTCTTAAAACATCTTTTCTTTGGATTTGTGGGTGGGGAGGGAGAATATCTTCTGCTCTTAAAATCCCTTGTATAACTTAACTCTTATCTGGCATCAAACCTGTGAATTTGAAGGACATGGAGCTTAAAGGGCCATGCATTAGCTCCCAGCTGGGGAATGCAGCTCTTCTCCTTACCTGCTCTTTAGCTGAATTATGCCATGTACTGCACATACTTTCTCATAAAACTATCTTTAAGCAGGAGATTTCATGGCATGGTGTGGCAGCATATGAGCATTTCTTCTTATCTCTTTTCTTTGAACCAGAACCACCATCTTTTGTTAAGAAAATTGAAAATGTGACAGCTCTGTCTGGAGACAGTATTACATTACAGGCTGTGGTGAAAGGGTCAGAGCCTATTTCTGTGATGTGGATGAAGGGCAAAGACATTATTCAAGATGATAACAAAGTGAGAGTGACATTTGAACATGGTCTAGCAACACTGCAAATTACCGGTGTCCAGCTGAGCTCTGGTGGCAAATACACCTGTGTGGCTGAGAATGATGCAGGAAGTCAGTCCTGCTTTGGTGAACTAGTAGTAAAAGGTCAGTGGAGTAGTGCTATGATCCCCACATTGTCTTCTATCTGAGAGGAAGAGCAATTTCCTTTTGTCCTTAACACCAGTTGTTTAATTCTGTTGTAGAACCTGCCAAAATAATTGAAAAATCCGAAATGATCCAGGTAACAGCAGGGGAACCAGCCATTTTGGAGTACACGGTCACAGGCACTCCAGATCTAAAAACCAAATGGTTCAAAGATGGAAGGCCACTACCTGCCAGCAAAAAATATAGGATCAGCTTTAAAAATAACACTGCCCAGCTCAAGTTTTATGCCACTGAAATGCAGGATAGTGGCGAGTACACCTTTGAGATATCCAATGATGTGGGCATCAGCTCTTGTACTACCAGCTTCACTGTGCTAGGTTGGTACTGACTCTTTGCAAAGCACCCTGCTACTCTGCTCTGAGCCCAAGAAAGCCAGAAGCAGAACTGCATGCCTGTTTTGCTCATGTGTTGGTTTCTTTCATTTTTTTTCCACTCTCAACAGATCGCACTCTCCCTCCCTTCTTTACTAAACCACTGAAGAATATTGACAGCATCATTAGTGCCTCATGCCACCTAGACTGCAAAATTTCAGGCTCTCTTCCAATGACCATCTCCTGGTTTAAGCAGGATACCGAGATCACTTCAAGTGCCAAGTACACAATGCATTTTGCAGAAGGCTCTGCGTCTTTGGAAATAAAACACCTAGATGCAAGTGATGCTGGGGTCTACATTTGCAGAGCCACAAACTCTGCTGGTAGCAAAGACAGCAGTAGCACTTTGTTTGTAAAAGGTTTGGCAATTTGTTTCACATTTCTTGGAGTTTTACTTCGCACATGATAATAGTTTTCTTCCCCAAAGTGCAGGATATGTGTCTTACTCTTGTCAATTATTTCCTTTCAACACAATCTAGAGCCACCCAGCTTCACTGTAGAACCAGAATCCCAAGATGTACTACCTGCGTCAACTGTACGTTTCAAAGGCACGTTTAAAGGCACAACACCACTGATGGTGAAATGGTTTAAAGATGACACTGAGCTGGTGACAGGAGGAGCCTGCTACATCATGACAGAAGCTTTAGCAAGTTACTTGGAGCTTTACGCAGTCAAACCAACAGACTCAGGAAAATACACCTGCAAAGTCTCCAATGTAGCTGGTTCAGTAACGTGCAGTGCAAACTTGTTTGTAAAAGGTTTGCGTTCTTACTGTCTTTTAAACTTTCAGCTGCTGGATTGACCCAGTGGTACTCTTTCTCACCTTCTTTGTCCTGAACGCTCTTCTTAAACCCACAGAACCTGCTGCCTTCAAGGAGAAGCTAGAGCCAACCTATCTGGTAAAGAAAGGTGGATATGCTGAGCTGACCTGTGAAGTCACTGGTACTCCTGAGATTAAAATCATATGGTTCAAGGATGACAGAGAGCTCAAAGAGAGTGACAAATACAGGATGTCTTTTGAAAAATCTTTGGCAATACTCCATCTTACAGAGGTTGAAACTGAAGACAGTGGGGAATACATCTGCGAGGCCAAAAATGATGCTGGAAAAGATATTTGCAGTAGCATTGTTACAATCAAAGGTGTGTGTGACATCCAGCTACTCAGTTTTTCTCTTGAAACTGTGTGGTTTTACAGGCTTCAAAAGTATGGCTTATACAAACTGCACTCTCTCTTTTGCACTGTAGAGTCACCTTATTTTAGCAAGGAGTTTCAATCCATGGAAGTCTTGAAGGATTCTGATGTGGTTTTGGAGTGTGAGGTCCTTGGCACACCTCCCTTTGATGTGTTTTGGTTGAAAGATGATAAACCCGTGCGGAGCAGTAAGAAGCACAGAATAAGCATTGAAAAATCTTTGATTAGACTCCACATTTTCAGGTTTGATGCTTCTGATGTTGGCGAGTATCAGTGTAGAGTAACAAACGATGTTGGGAGCTGCCTCTGCAGTTCGGAGGTCACACTGAAAGGTTAGTGTAAGGTGCAGAACGCTAGTAGCATGCTCTTATCCCAGTGTGGTTTCTGTGCCACACTGTCATACACCAGACCCATACTTACATAGCCACTTTCTTCCTGCCAGAGCCTCCACAGTTCTTGAAGAGGATAGAGAACATTAGTTCCCTTCGAGGGGGCACGGTCGTGTTTCAGGCTGCTATTAAAGGCTCCTTGCCCATCACTGTGTCTTGGCTGAAAGACAATGATGAAGTGATTGAAGACAACAATATCAAAATGACCTTTGTGAACAATGTTGCCACTCTTCTGGTGAGGTCTATTGAATTGAAACATGATGGGAAATATTTCTGTCAGGCTAAAAATGAGGCAGGAATTCAGAGGTGTTCTGCTCTGCTGACTGTTAAAGGTTGGTCCTACCCTGAGGGCTTGCAGTGATCTCAGACATCTCCCTTGTGATTTTTACAGATGCCATTAACACTCTATCTCCTTTTTTACAACAGAACCTGCTACAGTTGTGGACAAGGCTGTGTCAATAGATGTGACTGAGGGAGACCCAGCAACCTTGCAGTGTAAATTTTCGGGAACAAAAGATATTACAGCAAAATGGTTCAAAGATGGCAAAGAACTGACATTAGGCCCAAAATATAAGATCAGTGTTACAGATACTGTCTCAGTCCTGAAGGTGCTTCATGCAGAAAAGAAAGATAGTGGGGAATACATTTTTGAGGTTCACAATGATGTTGGGAGCAGTAGCTGTTCTGCCAGCATTAATGTCCTAGGTGTGTATGGGCTGTCTTTTATCGGTTTTTTTTACATACAAAATCTTTCCTCCTGAGCTGATATTTGCCACAATCAAGGTTGAATTTCATTCTTTGTCTTTTTACTCTGTCTTGTACAGATCTCATTATACCACCTAAATTCACCAAAAAGCTCAAGAAAATGGACAGCATTAAGGGGTCTTTTGTCCACCTGGAGTGCATAGTGTCTGGTTCACATCCTATAAGTATCCAGTGGTACAAGGATGGCCAAGAAATAACAGCAAGTGAAAAGCACAAATACTCTTTCCATGATAATACTGCGTTTCTAGAAATCAATAAACTGGAAGGCACAGACAGTGGCTCATATACCTGTGAAGCAACAAATAAGGCAGGAAGCAACCAGTGCAGTGGGTTCTTAACAGTCAAAGGTGTGAGCTCCTTCTTTGTCTTGTGTTAGGTCTTCCATTCATAATTTTGGAATTCTCCTGTCTGAGTAATCCTCTTTCTTCCTTTTCACATGTTATAGAACCACCATTTTTTGTGGAAAAACCCCAGTCCCAAGAGGTTGTGCCCAATGCTAGGGTGCAGTTCAAAGCACTGGTAAAAGGCTCTACTCCTCTGCAGATAAAGTGGTTTAAAGACAGCCAGGAGCTCCTCTCTGGAGCAAATCGATCTGTCTGGAAGGATGACACATCTAGTGTACTGGAGCTCTTCTCAGCTAGGACATCTGACTCTGGGAACTACACTTGTCAGATAAGCAATGATGTGGGGACTGCAACTTGCAAAGCAGCTCTGTTTGTAAAAGGTGTGCAACTCAATGTTCTTCTCATCTTTGTGGTCCTGATTTTTCTGTGCAATTTGGGGGGAGGGGGCAGGAAACTCTTGTATTTCTTTAAGCCACCTTGAATCTTACAAAGCCTCACCTTTTCTGTCCATCTTCTAGAGCCCCCCAGATTTATTCAGATGCCAACTTCTGTAGTAGCTTTACGTGAAGGACAGTCTACCACTTTCGAGTGCCAGGTAGTAGGCACACCAGAGATCCACATCACATGGTACCTGGATGGAAATGAAGTGACTGACCAAGCTAAGTACGGCATCTCCTTCATAGATGGTTTAGCCACTTTGAAAGTCACTCAGGCCAGAGTGTCAGATAGTGGGATTTTTGTTTGTGAAGCCCACAATGATGCAGGTAGTGAGAGCTGCAGCATCGAACTTAAAGTAAAAGGTTGGTTTGAACATCTTGTCATCATCCAGCTATGCTACATAGCTGGTGTGATGGAGTAGGGGAGACTTCTTGTCCCCTCAAAACTTATTCAAGGTTACTATCTATTTTTCCCTCATTGTTCTTTGTAGAGCCTCCAACATTTGTTCGAGAGTTGAGGCCCACTGAGGTGGTGAAAGGTTTGGAGGCCACACTTGAGTGTGAAGTGACTGGTACTCCTCCATTTGAGGTGAAGTGGCTGAAGAATAATAAGGAGATGTTCAGCAGCAAGAAATACGCCATCTCCACCAAAGAATCATTATTTGCTCTTAATGTGACTAACTGTGATGTCTCAGATGTTGGTGAATATCAGTGTATTATATCAAATGAAGGTGGGAGCTGTTCTTGCAGCACAAGGCTTAGCTTGAAAGGTCAGTCCTCTAGAAAGCATATTCCAAACATCACATCTCCTAGCTAAATTTTAGTGACCAGGATGATTTTATATGATCTCTCTTTCCCCTCTTCTCTTTCCGTGACTTGTCTTCCAAACGTCAAACAAAACTTCACACCACAGAACCACCATCCTTCATCAAGAAGCTGGAGAACGTCACTAGCATTTTGAAAGGTACTGCATTCTTCCAGTGTGTCATAGCAGGCGCTCAACCCTTATCTGTGTCATGGATAAAAGATGAGAAAATACTGGAAGACGATGAGCACCACCAGATTACCTTTGAGAACAGTGTGGCCACACTGCAACTTACCAATGTTGAACTCAGACACAGAGGGAGATACACCTGCCAGGCAAAGAATGAGTCTGGTGTGGAGAAGTGCTTTGCTTTGCTTTTTGTACAAGGTGTGTACAAGGTGTGAGCCTTCAAGCTCATCTTTGAATAGTACTTGGAAAGTTGGTCCCCTATCTGTGTAGCTAACTGCCATTTTTATACACTTTATACCTCAGAGCCTGCACGGATCATAGAAAAGGCTAAATCACTTAAAGTCACTGACAGAGACCCCGTGACTTTGGAATGTACTGTGGCTGGGACACCAGAGCTCCGTATAAGATGGTACAAAGATGGCAAACAGCTTCTGCCTAGTAGATACTACACAATGAGCTTTGAAAACAATGTGGCCAGTTTCAGGATTGAGCCTGTATCAAAGGAGGACAGTGGTACATACAGTTTTAAGGTTGAAAATGACTTCGGAAGTAGCACCTGTGAAGCTGTTCTGACTGTGCTAGGTTTGTATTGTCATTTGGCAAGTACACCCATCCAGCAAGGAGGGAATGAAAAAATAATCTCTGCTTGTGAAAGACAGGCAAGAAGGTAACCAGTGTGTTTTTGCCGTTTTTTGTGTTGGGCAGATCAATCAATTCCTCCTGCATTTATCAAAAAGCTGACCAAAAAGGATACAATTTTGGGATCGTCTATCCAAATGGAGTGCAAAGTTTCTGGGTCACTCCCCATTACAGCAAAATGGTTTCAGGATGGAAAAGAAATAACTGACAGTGCAAAATATAGAAGCCTGTGCCATGAGAACACTGTGTCACTCGAAATTGCTAATCTAGAGCTGTCAGACAGTGCAAATTACACATGCAGTGTCTCTAATGTTGCCGGGAACGATTCTTGCAGTGCTGTCCTGACTGTGAAAGGTTTGAAACTCTTTTACTACTACTTCTTATTTGTGATAGATGCTGGGAAAAATACCTGAAATCTTATGCTAACATAACACTCTTATACCTCTTAATCTTAATACTGAAAACTTGGTCTCCATGCTTACCTCACTAATTTTCTTCAATCTTAGACATTTCTCATGCAACTGAACATTTCTTTTTCTTGAAAACTGCAGAGCCACCAAGCTTCTTAGTAAAACCTGAAAGCCAGCAAGCCATCCCAGATTCCACAGTGGAGTTTAAGGCCACACTAACAGGAACACCACCCTTTACAATAAAGTGGTTCAAAGAAGATTTACAACTTGTATCTGGTCCAGCTTGTTTCATTGGGATTGAAGGGTCAACTGGGTTCTTAACCCTCTATTCGGTGGATGCTTCTAGGAGTGGGCACTACACTTGCCACATTTCAAATGACGTTGGCAGTGACTCTTGCACTACAACATTGATGGTAACAGGTGTGCACTCTTTCTTGTTGTGTTGCAGTCTTTTAATCTATTTCTTTTCCTTTCCTTTTGCCAAGCCCATCTCAGTGATTTTTAATACACAGGCAAGTGAATTCCCTACCCTGGGTTTGCAACCCACAGTTGTTTGACTCTTTTCCCAGCTCTTTTCTTTCCAATATTAATTCAGACCTTCCTGACCCCACTTTTCTGGTTTTTTAGAACCACCCAAGTTTGCTAAGAAGCTAGAGGCGGCAAAAGTAGTCAAGCAGGGTGACTCAGCCCGGCTTGAGTGCAAAGTAAGTGGATCTCCAGAGATGAAAGTAGTGTGGTTCAGAAATGACCATGAAATTGTTGCCAGTGAAAAATTCCGGACATCATTCATTGACTCTGTGGCTGTGCTTGAAATGAATCATCTCAGTACTGATGAAAGCGGTGACTACATCTGTGAAGCTCACAATCCTGCCGGCAAGGCCAGCTGTAGCACTAAAGTCACAGTGAAAGGTTAGCTGTCCTCTTGTTCTCTAACTGCATCCTATTTTTGCCTGGTGGTTTTATCCCTTTAAAGTCCACAGGAACATGAGATTAATTTCTTTTTTCAGGACTGCCTTTTTTTTTCATGTCATATTTGTTTTTCGATGTCCCCTCACCCCCTCTGCCAGGGCCTGAGCAAGAGAGATGTTGTTCTTAATACAGATAAGTCCTAAGCTAGGTGTTCCCCAGTTCTATGATTGTCAACATGCAAGACAGATCATAATGGGAAAAGGTATATCAAGGAGCTGAAATATGAAGAAAACAAACAGACCCGAACTCATCAGTGTCAGTTTTACACCCTGTATTTTAGACTACTACTAGCTAAATGAGACCTGTACCCTCTCTACCAGGGGTCACCCCTCTGTTTACCTTTTCTACAGAGGAGATAGGAACTCTGAATGATAACCTAACTGCAAGATCATTTCATAATGTGCCCAGAAAATGAGAATATCCTTGTCCATTCTGTTGATTTTTCTCAGCAATCTCATTGTGTAGAAGTCGGTATCAGTAAACTGTTGGTCAAGTAGCACCAGACTCCTTTCTAAAAATGTTCCTTTCTTCCCTCGTTAGAACCTCCTGTCTTTAGCAGGAAGCCCTCACCAGTAGACATGCTGAAAGGAACTGAGGTTAGCCTGGAATGTGAGATTTCAGGAACACCACCATTTGATGTTACCTGGTACAAAGACAGGAGACAAGTCCGCAGTAGTAAGAAGTATAAGGTTACAGCCAAAAACTACCATACAAGCGTTCGCATTCTTAATGTTGAAGCTGCAGATGTTGGTGAATATCAGTGTAAAGCACAGAACGACGTAGGAAGTGACATTTGTTTTTGCACTGTGAAGCTGAAAGGTAAAGTATTGGCATATACACCTTCTGCAGTGCTTTCAATGGCACTGTATTGCTCTTCTTTACATAGACACTGTATTTACTTTAATTGCATATTTTTTCTTCAGAACCACCAAAATTTTTGACTAAAATAAACAGCATGACTGTTGTGGTTGGTGAACCAGTAGAGTTACAAGCAAGAGTGGAGGGCTCCCAGCCAATTTCTGTGAAGTGGCTTAAAGACAAAGAGGAAGTTATTAGAGAAAGTGAAAACACGAAGATCACATTCGTGGAAAACATTGCAACTTTACAACTTGAGCGCACAGAATCAAGCAATGCTGGAAAATACATCTGTCAGATCAGAAATGATGCTGGAAGTCGCGAGTGCATGGCTACCTTAACTATTCTAGGTTGGTAAAAAGCACAAGTTCATAAAAGATTTTTTTCAAAGTTAGGAACTTGGCTGTTTAGTATCAGCTGTATGCTTCGCTTGGGTCCCTGAGTTGAAAATAATCAAGACAGATAATCCTTGTGTCCCCAAGAAGCAGTAGTCAGGTTCCCTATTTCCAGTTGTCCAGGGATAGAGGTGAAAGGAACCACGGGCTTCTACACTGTGATGGCATCCAGTTGACTGGGTTTCTAAGTCATGTCTTCTACTCATGCCTGCTTGGAGAGGGATAGACAGTTAAATTTTTCTCCTAGGAGTCTAAAAATGTTTTTACTTCATCTTGAAGAGCACCTGAAATCTCCAGGGTAGAATAAAGGGTGGAAAAAACCAGCTGAAAAAATTCCCCAGCCCAACAAACTGAGATATCCCTAGTATCAAATGTGTAAGCTCCATCTTATAGTGCTATAACACTTACAGCTAGTGCTAATCAGATCCTGTTTTCACCATACATGTTACCTGTCTCTCCTTCCAGAGCCTGCAGTGGTTGTAGAGAAAGCAGAGCCAATGAGAGTTACTGTAGGAGACGCCTGTACTTTGGAGTGCAAAGTGGCAGGCACACCAGAGCTTTCCACTGGGTGGTTCAAGGATGGCAAAGAGCTGACCAACAGCCAAAAATACAGAATTACTTTCCTCAATAAAGTATCTACACTTAAAATTATGGATGCAGAAAAGGAAGATGGTGGATTGTACACTTTTGCAGTGCAGAACGACGTGGGGAAAAGCAGTTGCACAGCATCAGTTGATGTTTTAGGTTGGTTGGGTTGCATCTCTTTCTTTCTTTCAGTCATGTTCTCTTTCCTTTCTTCTATTCCTTCCCTCCTTTTCTCTCTAACCATAGATTTATTATGTTTTCTTATGCAGATCGAATAATTCCTCCTTCTTTCACAAGAAAACTAAAGGAAACCCCTTCTATCCTGGGTTCCTCAGCATTGCTGGAATGCAAAGTGTCCGGTTCACCTCCTATTTCTGTTGCCTGGTTCCAAAATGGAGTTAAGTTAGTCAATGGGGAAAAACATCAAATCTCTTTTTCAGATAACCTATGTATTTTAGAAGTGAATTCACTGAGTGACTCAGATACTGGAACTTATACCTGCAAAGCTACCAATATAGCTGGTTCAGATGAATGCAGTGCTGTATTGACCGTACAAGGTCAGTATATGATGGTCAGGAAGCTCTCTGAGCTATTCTTTTCTCTTTCTCTCTTGAATTTGCCTATGGTCTTTTGTAAACATACTTGGCGAAAATTATTAACTGCAAAATAAAGGTTTTGTTCTTTATCTTCTATAGGGGATGCCTAGGGTTATGCTGTAGCAACGTGTCTTATCTCTTTCTCTCTTGTGTGTCTAGAACCACCTTCTTTTGAGAGGACACCAGAGCCTCTGGATGTCTTGCCAGGCACAAGCATCACTTTTACATGTGTTATCAGAGGAACCCCTCCTTTTAAGGTGAACTGGTTTAGAGGGGCCAATGAGCTTGTGCCAGGGGACAAATGCAATATCTACTTGGAGGACTCCATTGTGGAGCTTGAGCTATTTGATGTAACTCCTCTACAAAGTGGAGAGTACACTTGTCTAGTGACTAATGATGCTGGCAGGGCAAATTGTACAACACACCTTACAGTAAAAGGTTTGTAAAAATTGTGTCTCTATTTACCTCAAAATATTGTTTCCTTCCTCCATTTGTTCTGCTGTGCTCAACATTTGTGACTTCTTACTCTTCATTAGAACCAGCTGTCTTTGTGAAGAAACTGAGCGATCAGTATGTGGAGCCTGGCAAGCCCATCATCCTGGAGGGCACTTACACAGGCAGCCTGCCCATCTCTGTGACATGGAAGAAGAATGGCCAAACCATCACTCAATCTCAGAAGTGTAGCATCACCACGACAGAGAAATCCTGCATCCTGGAAATCCTTGACAGCACCAAAGAAGATGCAGGAGAATACACTTGCCATGTTGAAAATGAGGCAGGAAGAGATGTTTGTGAGGCTGTAGTCTCTACCCTAGGTGTGTGCCACCTTTGCTTCTTTTTCTTGCCTATTCTTTCAAGTGTATGCTTTCCAAGGCCTGTCACTGTAATGAGCCTATCTAATTGCTTCTCTTTTTTAGAACCTCCCTATTTTGTTACACACTTGGAACCTCTTGAGGTGTCAGTTGGGGATTATACAACATTGCAATGCCACGTTGCTGGAACACCAGAAATCACTGTGTCTTGGTACAAAGGTGATACAAAGCTCAGGTCTACTCCCGAGTACAAAGTGTTCTTTAAAGACAATGTTGCTACACTTATTTTCAACAAAGTGGTTAGCAATGACAGTGGAGAATATATCTGCAAGGCAGAAAACAGTGTAGGAACTGCATCTACAAAGGCTCTCTTAACAGTTCAAGGTGATGATTTTATATTAGCTTGCTACAAATGCTTTTGCTCTTGCAAAACTATAAAAAAAAAAATTCTTCCTGGGGCATATTTATCCTTTACTTGCTTTATTCTAGAGCGCAAACGACCACCTTCCTTTGCAAGAAAATTAAAGGACATCGAGCACCCTGTTGGTTTACCCCTTAAATTTATGTGTCGTCTCAATGGCTCAGAACCCATTACTGTGACCTGGCATAAAGATGGTGTGCTGCTAAGCGAGGACCACAGTGTGCACATATCCTTTGTAGATAACGTTGCAGTGCTACAACTGGCACGAACCGAAATGAATCATACCGGGCAGTACTCCTGCACAGCCACCAATGCTGTGGGCACTGCCACCTCAAGTGCTAGGCTCACAGTGGCAGGTGCGTTGGCTTACAAAACTTTTGCCTGGATCACAGGCTTCTCCTTCCTATTTCATGCATGCAGTGTGTTGGATTAGCTTTTTCATGAGGTATGAGTATTACACTGTTTTCTTGTGTTTCTAGAACCCAAGCAAGCACCTGTCTTTGATATCAAACCAGAATCTATTGATGTGCCTTTTGGAGAAAGTGCTGACTTTGAATGCCATGTTACTGGAGCCCAGCCAATACACATCACCTGGTCCAAGGATGGTCGGGAGATCCGAACTGGAGGAAACTTCAATATTACGTTTGTAGCCAACACAGCTCATCTTCGAGTGCTCAGAGTGGGTAAAGGAGACTCTGGCCAATATACTTGCCAAGCTAGTAATGAAGCTGGGAAAGACTTTTGCTCAGCCCAGCTCAGTGTCAAAGGTATTAAGTCACCTTCATTTATGTGTTTTCTTTTTCTTGGGCAAAGGGACCTCTTTGTTACTGATTCTCATCTTCCACCATTTCCAGTTTGGAAATATGTAGAAAGTAGTTTTCCAGAAAGCAGACATATACCATATGATGACCTCCTGCTATCATACTGCATGAAAGTAAAAGCCTTGTGTGCCTGCAAGATCTCCAAAAGGAAAGGTCTCCTTGTGAAGCTGTTTGTATGGAGACCTGCACTCACCCTCCTTTTTACTTTGTCACTAGTGCTTAAACTATATTCAGATATAGCAATTACTATATGGAAAAAGGTGATACCATAAGTACAGCTACCTTGCATTTACAGGCCAGCATTGGCAACACTTTCAAATTTGCTAAAGTTTTCAATTTGAGTTCTGAGTTGCTGATTTAATCTAGACTATGAATCACTTAAGTTTTTAATGCAGAAAAATGCTTTAAAGATGTGTAAGTAAGTGAAACTATCCCTACCGTGTTTCTGCTGCTCCTGGGGGTGAAGAGCTTGTCAAAACTTTCGTGCTGGCCTGGGGATATTTTTGCCTCTTGAAGGTAACAGAAAATTTCCCTTGGTTGGAGCAATCGTCCTTCATGTGTTTTTTACAACTCCAACTGTCTGATGCAGCAGGCTCCAAAATTGAGAGAACACAGTTTTAGTTGCTGTCTGCCTTCTTTTCTCCGTCTTGTGTCTTTACTTGAGAGAAAGCTCTGGTTGAGGAGATGAGCCAGCTGATATAGCAAGCTTACTTTGTTGTGTCCCAATACTCTTGTGCTCCCCATAACTCTTACTCAGCACTGCAGACTTCATGTAGCAAACAGGTATACTGTCACTCTCTACATACTCATTCTGTTCTGCAGAACCTCCTAGGTTCGTCAAGAAGCCTGAAGCTTTGCGGTTCGTGAAGCAGGGGGATGCAGTTCAACTTGAATGTAAAATCAGTGGCACACCAGAGATGAGAACCATGTGGTACAAAAATGATCAGGCACTCCAGGCGAGCGACAGACTCCACATGTCCTTTGTAGACTCCGTGGCAATGCTAACCATCTTGGGTGCTAACACTGAAGATGCTGGTGATTACATATGTGAAGCCCATAACTCTGCCGGCACAGCCAGCTGCAGCACTTCAGTCGCAGTGAAAGGTTAGCAGCATGGCTCCACACATCACTACAATCCCCGACATCTGGGCCCACTCCCAGCTGCACATCCTTCTGGACAGGGAGCTGCTGCTAGGGCAGTTGGTGACTGCTGGGGCAGTGTCTCTCCAGCTGCTCTCACATTCAAATGCTGCTGTGTTTAAGCAGCAGAGACCAGGCAGGAAATAGTGGTGGTTGTTCAGCACTGTGCAGCCATTCCCTTCTCTCCCCGCTTAAGGCAATTGCAAGCTGAATCAGGCAAGCTTGTGAGGTCACAAGGGAAGCATGGACTAGATGGAGCACCAGCCATGGTGACGGAGCTGGGTGTACTTTGCATCCATCCCTCTTATACACAGTGATCCTGGCAGGAATGAAATTTAAGACGGAAGAGGAGGCTGTGTTGCTGAGCCTCACTCGTGGTGGCTTTCATGACTGGAAGGAGGCGGGGAAAGCTACAATGTGGTCATGGAGAGAGGACACAGCGGCTTTTGGGGAGGGACACTGAGCACTGACTCCAAACAGGTGCAGAAGTGTCACATTTTCTGCCCTTGAGACTCTGAGTGCTGGGATGGCTTGCTGGGATATGGCGGGGGCTCAGCATTTTTTAGAGGTGAAGCCACATATTTGGAAGCTAAATATGGGTTTACAAGAATAAGTGTAGGTCTCCTTCCTGGATATATTGCCTCCTGCTACTATCCAGAAACCTTCCCAGGTTTATGATGTGATTCTTTTTTTTATAGAACCACCTGTTTTTAGCAAGGTGCCAAGCCCTGTGGACACACTTAAAGGCTCAGATGTTATCCTCCAGTGTGAGATAGCAGGGACTCCTCCCTTTGAGGTGGCTTGGTTCAAGGACCGGAGGCAGGTCAGGAGCAGCAAGAAGTTCAAGGTGACAGCAAAGCACTCCATTGCCAGTCTTCATATTCTCAATCTGGAATCTCAAGATACTGGAGAATATCAATGCAAAGCTATGAATGAGGTGGGAAGTGACACTTGCACCTGCCCAGTGAAATTCAAAGGTTTGTATGCTAGAGAATCAACAGCATCACCACCCTCTTTTCTTATCTCCTGACTGTCCCTCTTCCAAGCAGATATGCTTGATTAACCCTCCTCTGCCTCCTTGTTTTTGCCATCAGAACCCCCACGCTTTGCCAAGAAGCTGAGTGACACTGCAATCTTCGTTGGGGAGCCAACAGCCCTGCAGGCAGTGGTGGAAGGATCCCCACCAATTTCTGTCGTCTGGCTTAAGGACAAGGGTGAAATTATTAGGGAGAGTGAAAATATCCAAATGTGGTTTATGGACAACATTGCAACTCTTGAGATTGCCAGTGCAGAGGGAACTGATGTTGGGAAGTACATCTGCCAGATCAAAAATGATGCTGGCATGCGGGAATGCTCTGCCTTTTTACAAGTCCTAGGTGGGTATATCTTGCTTCACAGGTACTATATCTTACAACTTGCACAATTGCCTCTATCAGCCTTTGTTTTCTGCGTATATCCTGTGCTCACCAGTTTACAAGTAGATTTCCTGGTGACACACTGACCCATCCCTTCCTGTTTCAGAACCAGCAGTCATCTTAGAGAAGACCGAGCCAATAACAGTAATGGCTGGCAATCCTTTTACCTTGGAGTGCAAAGTAGGAGGAACACCTGAACTTATCACGAAGTGGTACAAAGATGGCAGAGAACTAAGGAGCGACCGCAAATACCAAATTACCTTTTTCAACAATATATCCACTTTGAAAGTCTTCTCTGCAGACAGGGGAGACAGGGGGTTGTATACTTTTGAGGTGCACAATGAGGTGGGGGACAGCAGCTGTACTTCTTCAGTTGATGTTTCAGGTCAGCTCTATGGTCTTTGTTGTTCACACTTGTCTTTAAAGGAAACTTTATTTCCCCCTTTCCTTTCGTCTGAAAAAAACCCAACACTTTTCTTCCTGTTCTTCTGCCCTGTCATACTTAGATCGTCTTGTTCCTCCTTCATTCTCAAGAAAACTAAAGGAGACAAATGGAGTGCTGGGATCCTCAGTGCTTCTGGAGTGTAAAGTGTCTGGCACATCCCCCATATCTGTGGCCTGGTTTCAGGATGGGAATGAGATTGTTAGTGGAGAAAAACATGAAATCTCATTCTTGGACAATGTTTGTGCTTTGAAGCTGAATACCCTGGATGTCACAGATACAGGGTCATATACCTGCATGGCAGCCAATGTGGCTGGATCTGATGAATGCAGTGCCTTCTTGACTGTCCAAGGTCAGTGGAAAGATACTACAGCCCCTTCAAAAGAATAATTCTTCCTTCTTCATTTCTTTCCCTCTGGTTTCCCATGGTTTATTTTCTTTTTTTTTTTTTTTTCTTTTTTTTCCTTCTATTTTCTCCCTCTTTCTTTCTTTTTTTTCTTGGGGGGCTCAAACATGCTCCAGTTATCCTCCCTGAGAAAGACTCTCCTATTAACATCTTTCTCCCTCTTCACTTCTTTGCATGATCCTTAGAACCACCTTCTTTTGTGAAGACACCCGATCCCCAGGAAGTTTTGCCCAAATCAAGTGTGACATTCACCAGCTACATCAAGGGGAGTACTCCCTTCAAAGTGACATGGTTCCGAGGCATCAGGGAGCTAGTGCCAGACAGCAACTGCTCCATCTCTCTGGATGAGTCTGTAGCACAGCTGCAGCTGTACAATGTGGAGCCAGGCCACAGTGGGGACTATGCCTGTGTGGTCACAAATGATGCTGGCAGTGCCTCATGTACAACCCAACTCTTTGTGAAAGGTGTGTTTGTGTGCATGCATGTACACACAGGTATCTCCCTTAATGCTCTGCCTGCGGCCCTGCCACATCTGTCCCTCTCACTATTGATCTATGCCTCCCCACAGAGCCTGCAGTCTTTGTGAAGAAATTAAGTGATTTCAGTGTGGAGCAGGGGAAGTCCATTGTGCTGGAAAGCAGCTACAAAGGCACCTCTCCCATCTCTGTCACCTGGAAGAGAAATGGCATGCCCATTACTCAGTCTCCACACTGCAGTGTTACAACTACTGACAAATCTGGCATTCTTGAAATCTTCAACAGCACCAAGAGTGATGAAGGCGAATACACCTGTGAAGTGGCAAATGAGGCGGGTGGGGATGTTTGCCACAGCCTTGTATCCATCTTAGGTACACATCACCCCTGATCCCCCAAACGCACTCCAGTGATGCTCTGCTTCTGCTCACCATGCTCTCTCCTTCCCTAGAACCACCCTATTTTGTCACGCACCTGGACCGTGTGGAGGTGAAGGTTGGCGAGCCCTTGACCTTAAAATGCCAGATTGGTGGTGCACCAGAAATCAAGGTGTCCTGGTACAAAGATGACACCAAGCTCAGATCGACACAGGCTTACAAGATGCACTTCAAGAACAATGTGGCAACGCTGGCATTCTCCACTGTGGAGGACAGTGACATTGGAGAATATATCTGCAAAGCAGAAAATAGTGTCGGCTTCGCCACATCCACAGCTTTGCTTGTTGTTAAAGGTGATGGGCCAAGGGCCACTCTTTCTTGGGGTAGTTTGTAGAAACTCTTTGTTGTCTACAGAAAGGGGTTCTTATTAATTTCAGAGTAAGTTAATTCTAGATTGACAGGGTGCCTTCCTACTTATAGTGGTGATTATTATTGTTTTGCAGAACGTCAACTTCCTCCTACATTCGCCAGAAAACTGAAAGATATTCAGGAGGTGGTTGGTGCCCCAGTGACATTTGACTGCCGCATAAATGGCTCAGAGCCTATTCAGGTGTCTTGGTACAAGGATGGGATTCTCTTAAGTGACAATGATAACATGCAATCAGCCTTCTTAAATAATATTGCAACTCTCCACATCTTGCAAACTAGTATGGAGTACTGTGGCCAATATACTTGCTCAGCCCAAAATGCTCTGGGGACTGCGTCTTCCAGTGCTAGACTTCTCCTCAAAGGTTTGTAGCTCACACTTAAACAAAGATATTTTGTGCCTGATCTTTTATTTCTTCACCCTTTCGCTTACTCTTCCCATTGTATGGTGGCCAGAGAGTATGGGTGTGGCATGGTAGGATGTGTAGTGAGGAGGGCTTGGTGGTGAGCTCTGCCATGCTTTCCTCTTTGCAGAACATCTACAACCTCCCTTCTTTGACATCAAGCCAGTATCTATCGATGTGGCACTAGGGGAAAGTGCAACCTTTAAGTGCCACCTGACTGGCTCTGCTCCAATGAAGATTACTTGGACCAGAGACAACAGAGAGATCCGCCCAGGTGGCAACTACAAAATGACGCTGGTGGAAAACACAGCCAGCTTGATGATCCTAAAAGTCGGTAAAGGGGATACTGGACTCTACACATGTACTGCCAAAAACAGTGTTGGAAAGGACGCGTGCGCAGCCCAGCTGGCTGTACAAGGTATTGTTGTGATCTTTAGTGTTCGTGACACATTTTTTGCAAGGCAGACACCTGGAAAACAAATCCATGAATGTAAATGTGTGAGACTAACAGCCTTTACAGGAGGTTACACAGAGATATCTTACTTCGTTTAATTATTGTAATACTTAAATACTTATTCATCTTCTGGTGTGGTATAGTGCATGATTTGTCTTATCAAAGGGATTCTTCCACTGAAATGTTAACTCTGACTTAGCACTCTCTTGCACCTTTATGAATGGCCCTTTTGGCCAGCAAAATCTGTCTTCCTTTAGTCTTTCTCCAGCAGTGTAATTCACTAAGTTGTCCAGGGGAGGGAAACATAACTGAGAGAATCTCAGTTCATTTGTGAGACTTAAATATATTTTCACTGGGTGTGCAGCTCCTGCAAATAGTTTTACTCCTTCACAGACTGAAAACATTGAAAACTGCTGTTCTAGACAGCAAAATTGGAGGATCTGAGGGAAAACTTGGTGACAAATATCCATTGCGTGAAGACTTTGCTTCTCCACATAGTGTGTGGATCTTGTACATTTCAATGTTCTAAATATATGACTGAATCAAACTGTCTTGGTACAAGTGACACTTGTATATTAGTGTAATTTCCTCAGCGTAGGTGGGAACTTTGGATTTATTTATAGCTGTTCCAGATATCTCATTCTTACTGATTTTATAAAAGAATGAATGTAAAATACACTACTCTAAATTATGCATCAAGTTCAAATGTCACTGTTGGTTTAGTGCTTTCTTTTTTTCCCCCTTCTGTGGGAATTAAAAGGAGAAAAAACAAAAACATTTGAAGAGTAATACTATGGCAAATAACATAAGAAACTGAACTACCACTAGCAAGATTTCATAACAATTGCTTGTCAAATGTATTATATATATGAAGAGTATATTCTATCCATCTTTCTTTGTGAGTGTGGCAGACTGAATTACCTGTAGATTCAATGGCAAATAGGGATACTGTTATTATGTAGCTTGACTTACAAAAAGCATTGAAAGATTTTAACAGAAATTCTAACCTCTTTGAAAGATTTAAAGCTTGTTTATACCAGATTCACAATTCTGTTTATTATTAATTATAATATTACTAATAGGTTTGATTGGAGTTACCATTAATTAAATGATCTTGACTGACCTTATTTATTTTCTTATTCTTCAAGTATTTATTCATAAAATCCTGATTTTTTTTTTTTTTTCATTCTAGGATTAGGGGGGTTTTTTTGATCCTGAACTTTCACTGACACTCATTGCAATCCTTTAGAATTTGTCCAGCTTTCCCAGGACTGTAAAATTAATGATGTTCATTGTTTGCCAAATAATTTCTATAGAACTTGGAAGGGCAAGCTCTTTGTGTGCATTGATTTGCATGTGTTTAATTTGAGCAGGTGTTGTCTCACTTCTTTGATACACAGTCTTTTTCTGTAGAATTAAGATCTTTTGTTAAATTGACCTTGAAAATCTCCCAGGTTTTATTAGCTTTCCTACTTTAACATCTAATGTTCCAGATCTGTAGATTTAACAATTGCTTTAGGTTCTAGAAACTGCTTTACATTCAAAGTATATACTTTACTAACTTGTATATCCTAATTTTCAGAAAGGAATGGAATTACAGTGTGACTACGCAGCAACTGCTAGTATGTAGATAGATAATAAATTCTTTGTCAAAGTGAAATCTGATAGTAAGTTACTAAGGTTCCAAGAGTCCTTGTGTTAACAAACAATCATTTCTATTGTTAGAAACTCTAAGGAAGTTTTGTTACTAACAACAGAGAATGTTATGCAAATGTCCCATAGATTGAAGTAACCCAAAATAAAATAGATATTCTTCCTACACTTTACAAGCAGATGCACAAAGAGGCACTTCATCCTGTTATGCGGAGAGATTTGTTTGTTGTGCCCACATTACCACCTCTTGGTTTTACTGATTATATCTTTGATCTATGAGCATTCAGTCTTGTGATTCTGAATCATCCGTATGGTACTTTTGATGAAAAGTGTCAAACCTCCACTCCTTTCTCTTTTTACAGAACAAAATGTAACCATCCGGTTTACTTTTCAGTCACAGGACCTTTAATACTAGTTTCTGTAATACCAGCCATCTCATAATTCTTCCCAGCATCATTATTTTGAACCCCTTTTGTTTGCTGCGTAAACTCGACTTTTATTCTTTATATGCACCTTTATATTTGGCTTTGCAATAAAGGTGCGAAGGGTTATAATGCAGATATGTTTATTGACCATATCAATTGTTAATTACATATTAAGATATAAAACAGTTGCTATAATGCTCAAGAGAAATGCTCTTAATAATATATATTGGATGAATTTCAATTCTTGGATTTCCATCAGGCGTTTTGATTACTCATATATTGTAAGAGGGTATTACTTAAGGAAAACCACACATGTCAGCTGATCTGTACTGAATACAAAGAAGGAGAAGTAGAGTAGGACAATAAAGTAAGGAGAAACTAACTGAAATGCAGATAGAGAACCAGTTTGCTTCCTAATCTAGATTTGGGGCGCTTGAAATAATCTAAAAAAAAATTCATATCAATTGCAAAATTAGAATATTTGCATAAGTCCCCAAAGTTTACATTTTCTGTTGCATATTTCCCTGCTTATTCAAAGAATCAGTGCAGTTCAAAGCATCATTTCCCCTTTTTGGCTTTCCAGAACCACCAAGGTTTATTAAGAAACTAGACTCCTCAAGACTTGTGAAACAGCATGATTCTACTCATTATGAATGCAAAATAGGCGGATCTCCAGAAATCAAAGTCACTTGGTACAAAGGTGAAACTGAGATCCGTCCCAGTGAAAAATACAGAATGTCCTTTGTGGATTCAGTGGCAGTCATTGAAATGCACAACCTCAGTGTTGAAGACAGTGGTGACTACACTTGTGAAGCTCGAAATCCAGCGGGTAGTGCAAGCATCAGTACCACACTGAAAGTAAAAGGTCAGAATCCCAGTTCTTTCCTTACCTTTCTATCTGTATGATTCCTCCTTTGTGGAAAAGCTGTTTAGTACCCCTTTGTTTAGTCAGAGGACCAAAATCTGTCTGAATAGAGGGCAAATCTCTTACCTGTTTGTTATGCTGTGGGAGATCTTTCTTATTTATGGTTTATCTTGTTCATCTTTGCTGTTCAGCATCAGAAAGGCTGCTTGAATAGTCTGTCCTCTTTAATTTTGTTTGCTCAAATAACACAAACTTTAACTTCCCCCCCCCCTTTTTCAGCACCCCCCGTTTTTACCAAGAAGCCCCATCCAGTCCAGACCTTGAAAGGGTCTGATATTCACCTGGAATGTGAGCTTCAGGGCACTCCTCCATTCCAGATTTCATGGTATAAAGACAAACGAGAAATTCGGAGCAGCAAGAAGTATAAGATCATGTCTGAGAACTACCTAGCTGGTATTCACATTCTCAGTGTGGATACTGCAGATGTTGGTGAATATCACTGTAAAGCTGTAAATGATGTGGGAAGTGATTCCTGTATTGGCTCTGTAACACTAAGAGGTTTGTATAAAGATTGGCACCTTCTTGACATTTAATTGTTTCCTGCCATTCTCTTCCTACTTTTCCACTCCTGGTATGTTTTTTTTTACTGTTAAATATCTTCTCTTAAATAGCACCACCAACATTTGTGAAGAAGCTGAGTGATCTCACCGTCGTAGTTGGAGAATCAATTGAACTGCAGGCTGCAGTAGAAGGATCACAGCCAATTTCTGTTCTGTGGTTAAAAGACAAAGGGGAAATCATTAGAGAAAGTGAAAATCTTTGGATCTCCTATTCAGAAAACATTGCAACTATGCGTATTGGAAATGCAGAACCAGTCAATGGTGGGAAATACATTTGTCAGATAAAAAATGATGCTGGAGTTCAGGAATGCTTTGCCACAGTGACAGTACTAGGTTGGTAGCATGGGATAAAAAAACACAATGTGTTTGAAGATGCTTTAAAATTTCATTTTTATGCTACTAATAAGTCTTGCACTGTTTTTAAAAATGTTGCAACTTGCATCTCATTGCAGAACCTGCAGTCATTGTAGAGAAGCCAGGCCCAGTCAAAGTTACAGCTGGAGACTCTTGTACTCTGGAATGCACAGTAGATGGCACACCAGAGCTCACTGCTAGGTGGTTTAAGGATGGGAATGAACTGTCCACTGACCATAAATATAAAATCAGTTTCTTCAACAAAGTATCTGGGCTTAAGATCCTCAATGCAGGACTAGAAGACAGTGGAGAATATACTTTTGAGGTGAAAAACAGTGTTGGAAAAAGCAGCTGCACAGCTTCAGTGAATGTTTCAGGTTAGTTGGCTACTCTTTTTGAGTCACATCTGATCCTATAGTTCCTTTACAAAGCCTTCAGATAGGAAACTGTTTCTCATGAATGGTAGCCTGAGAGATTCATTGCTTGTATAATCTTAGGAGTACTTGGCATGCTACTTTGACAGGCATCAGGAACAGATGCCTACCTAACCTCTGATGGGCAGGAGTTGTTGCAAGGGCTTGATTTCTTCAGCTTTAATCTACATGTCTTCTTGGACAGCTGGTGCAATATTGTTGCTTATGAAGAAGAACTGCAAAAATAAGATTTGTCCCTCAAAAAATATGAATGAAAGCACCAGCATGTCCTAACCACCAACCATCTATTTTTCAGTGACTTAGGTGTGTCAGCGTAGATTGCTAAAGCAGATATATCAAAAGAAAGTTAACTGGTTTTATTATGCATGAGGAATTTTTTGCATTTTAAGCTCTTGTATGTTAATTTTTATTATTTTTTTTTTAAACAAATATAGATCGTATTATACCTCCTTCTTTCACGAGAAAACTGAAAGAAACATATGGTCAGCTGGGCTCTTCTGCTGTACTGGAGTGCAAAGTTTATGGGTCACCACCTATTCTGGTTTCCTGGTTTCATGATGGACAGGAGATTACCAGTGGAGACAAGTATCAGGCGGCCCTTACAGACAATACCTGTTCTCTGAAAGTGAATGGACTTCAGGAATCTGATATGGGAACTTATTTGTGCACAGCTACTAACACAGCTGGGTCTGATGAATGCAGCGCATTTTTGAGTGTTAGAGGTCAGTATCAATAAGAAGCCAGAGACAGAGGGCAAAAATTTATTTTCAAAAAGACTTCATTCTTTGTTTTGTTACATATTTCTGATTCCTATGCTCTTCATCAGATATTCCAATGTACTACTTCTCTGTCTGTTTTATTTGCATGCTTAGAACCACCGTCTTTTGTGAAGAAACCTGAACCACTGAATGTTTTATCTGGGGCAAACATAACCTTTACCAGTATCATAAAAGGCTCCTCTCCATTGGAAGTTAAGTGGTTTAGAGGTAGTGTTGAGCTGCTACCGGGACACAGATGCAATATCACCTTGCAAGATTCAGTTGCAGAACTAGAGCTGTTTGATGTACAGCCACTTCAGAGTGGAGACTACACCTGCCAGGTGTCTAATGAGGCAGGGAAGATTTCTTGCACAACACATCTTTTTGTCAAAGGTTTGTCCAGACTACTGTTTCTTATGCTTCTTACATTTCTAAAAATGATTTCTTGTCTTTATTTAATTTATTTTCTTCTCATTTTTCATTATAGAACCAGCCAAATTTGTGAAGAAGGTGAATGATTTAAGTGTAGAGAAAGGGAAAAATTTAATCTTGGAATGCACATACACAGGTACTCCGCCAATTTCAGTGACATGGAAGAAAAATGGAGTAAAAATAACGCACTCTGAAAAGTGTAGCATCACCACTACAGAAACATCTGCCATACTGGAAATCCCTAGTAGCAAACTAGAAGATCAGGGGCAATATTCTTGTCACATTGAAAATGATTCTGGACAAGATAATTGTTATGGTGCAATCATAATACTAGGTGCGTCAAGCCACCATTACTTCATCAAGTGTTATTTGAACTACTAATGGTTGTTGTGTAATACTTTTTCATACTAATGGTGTATGTTTGTTCTTCAGAACCACCTTACTTCATTAGAACCCTGGAGCCAGTGCAGGTGACTGTTGGGGATTCTGCATCCTTACAGTGCCAGATTGCTGGAACACCAGAAATGATTGTGTCATGGTACAAAGGTGATACAAAGCTGAGAGGAACTGCTACTGTAAAAATGCATTTTAAGAACCAAGTTGCCACTCTGGTTTTCAGCCAGGTAGACAGTAGTGACAGTGGGGAGTACATCTGCAAAGTAGAAAACGCTGTTGGGGAAGCTGCTTCATCATCTTTGCTGACTGTTCAAGGTGAATATTTCATTTTTAAAAATAGGAAAATGGCCTTTTTTTCTTAAGTATACTTTACTATTTCAAAACACAAAGACTACCTTTTCCTTGTTAAACACTTTACTTTTTCTTGATGTGTAAGATACCCTGTGGCACTTCTCTTAACAAAGGCCTACCAGCAAACCTAATTGAAATACGTCTCTTACTCATCACAGCTCTTCTGTAGGGATACAAGTTTCTGCATCTTCCTTCCCCGTTGAGGATATTGCTTTGATTGTTTCCACCATTAGCAGTCCTGAGGGTTAAATAGGCTCACTTGGTGTAACTACGGGCAGAATGGTTATATATTTTCATGCAACTGAATGCACAGTGCTCTTTTGATATCAGGTTCCAAATAAATTATATGCTGAATATCATTTTTATTCAGAAGTTATGAGCAAAAATATAGCATACTCTACAGTATATTATGCAGTGATTATTGGTGAGTAAAGCAACAGGTGCATATCTTCTGAAAGCCCTTACTGTACAATACCTGTTTTCTTACAGAGCGTAAACTTCCTCCTTCTTTTACACGAAAATTAAGAGATGTTCATGAAACTCTTGGCTTACCAGTTACATTTGATTGCGTCATTGCTGGTTCAGAACCTATTGAAGTGTCTTGGTTTAAAGACGGTGCACGTGTAAAAGGGGACTACAACGTTCACACATCCTTCATAGATAATGTAGCAACTCTCCGGATTTTGAAGACAGATAGGAGCCTTATTGGGCAATATACCTGCACAGCTACCAATGCAATTGGGACTGATTCTTCTAGTGGCAGGCTTGTCCTTACAGGTCAGTGGGCTGTAAAATATTTAGTGGAAATATCTTAAAACTCCCTTTTGATTTATCTATGAATTTAAAATTGTATGAATAATAATTATTTCACAGAGGTTTGAAGCAAATCAAGATTTTAAAATGATCCTTTTTTATTTCTCTCACTCTTTAGAAGGGAAGACTCCTCCATTCTTTGACATCCCAATTACACCTGTGGATGGTATTATTGGAGAAAGTGCTGACTTTGAGTGTCACATTTCTGGGACACAGCCTATTAGAGTCACTTGGGCAAAAGATAACCAGGAGATTAGAACAGGAAGAAATTACCAGATCAGTTTTGTAGACAACACAGCCCACTTGACCATCCTGAGAGTTGACAGGGGAGACTCTGCAAAGTATACATGCTATGCTAGCAATGAAGTTGGAAAGGACTCTTGCACAGCTCAACTGACTGTTAAAGGTACTGAATAGATAATACATTGTGTGTACATATTTCTTCCTTTAATTATAAAGGAAGTTAGCCTTATTGATGCAAGATAAGTTTGAGAAAAACTTTGGAGTTATAGCTTGAAAGTGTGTATCTGGAGATACCCTTGGGTCTTTTCAGGGAATTAGGAAGGGTCACGAAAAACAATGGGAGAAGAAATGAAAGAATATTTTCTTAGACCTATTTTCTTTATAGGATTTGACCTATTTCTTTCTCCAAGAACTCAACAGAAATCTTGGGTTTTTTAAATGGCATTTGACTTAAGAAAAAAATTCCTATTTAAATGAGAGCAAATATCAAATCCCAAATGTTCAAAATTTTCTTGAAACATTTTCTTTGGAGTTTTTCCCTTCAAGTTAGATTCATAGAATATGAATAATATGTTCTTTTTTTTTTTACAGAACGAAAAACTCCACCCACTTTTACTAAGAAACTGTCTGAAGCAGTAGAAGAAACAGAAGGGAATGAACTTAAACTTGAGGGCTGTGTTTCTGGCTCTCAGCCTTTCACTGTTGCTTGGTATAAAAACAATCAGGAAGTTCGTTCAAGCCCTCATTGTGAAATATCTTTCAAAAACAATACCATACTTTTGCATATAAAGAGCGTAGAGCAATCAGATGCTGGTTTATATACCTGTAAAGTGTCCAATGAAGCAGGAAGCGTGTTGTGTACATCTTCTGTTGTTATCAGAGGTCAGTTGAAGTCTTTTTTCTTTGTTGTATGTTAGCTGCAAATATACAGCTTCTATCTTATGAGCTGGTTTTACTTATGTTAAAAGAAATAATTTGTCCTGATACAGTCAAGATAAAACTGAGTTAAACCACAAAATCAAGGAATTCTTTTAACTTTGTGATTAAAATAAAACAATATTTTTCAGAGAGGGGCTTCTTTACCTTATCACTATGTGCTATGACTGATTTAAGGTGAACACTGAAATCTTTATGTGACATTTCTGTTGAATTTTTAATTATTCTCTTTTCATGGAATAACACTTTTTCTGTGCAATTACATCTAACCTTGGGCAGCCTTGACAGTGTGTTGTGGCAGCATGGCACTTCATCATAATACTCTTGCAGGAGATTGAATATTTGTTTCTTTAAAGGTGCTTATATAGTTTTGCAGCTTAATAGCAGTGCTTTAGTTCTTATGCTATTTTTTGCATGGGAAAGCCCTTGCTGAGCAGAGAAAAGATATTTCTTGCAAGTTTGCATAGATTTTGATATTATCTTGATATTCATTCCATTTTATAAAACTATGATTGACATTCTCAGACTTCTGTTTATTCTCCTTCATTCCTTGCCATTGTCTTCTTAAGAATTACGTGTATCTTTTCTCTTACATTCTTAGTCATACTTTTCTTCCTTGAGTATTCACTCAAGCATTTCCATATTCCAGAACCTAAAAAGCCTCCAGTTTTTGACCAGCCTCTTCAGCCAGTAGCAGCAGAGGAAGGCGATACCCTACAGCTCATCTGCCACGTCCAAGGATCACAGCCAATCCGGATTCAGTGGCTGAAGGCAGGGAGAGAAATAAGAACTTCAGACAGATGCAACTTCAGCTTTGCTAATGGAGTAGCTCTTCTAGAACTTGCTACAGTTACCAAATCCGATTCAGGAGAATATGTATGCAAAGCTTCAAATGCAGCTGGCACTGATACTTGCAAATCTAAAGTGACAGTTAAAGGTACAGTAACCTGGAGAAAATCAAGGCATATGATGGAAATTTAAAACAAAATTCCATCCTGCTTTGTTTTCTGTGGAACAAAAATGTTAATAATCTAATAGCAAACAATTAGCATCTTTTAGTTCTTTGTAAAACTATACAATGTGGGAAGACAGTATATTTAACAATTTATATATAGATAGTGACACAAACAGTAGATCAGTGTCAAATCAATAGTATATTCTTACCAAAAAGATTAAAAATTCAGTTTCTAAATCTAAACACTGAATTTAAGAAAAATGCAAGCAAAATGAGTGAAATTACTCTGACATTTATATTTTAGGGAAAGGATGGGAACAGTGGTGTTTATTAAAGGAAAATACAAAAGAAATCTGATTGAGCATGTGGCCTTAGAGGCTAATCGCTTCAGAACTGTTACGACTCTAAGGCATTTTGAGCTTTTTGCTGAAAGTAAAGATTTTCTAAGCATGAGTCCTTCCATGTACATCTTGTCTTACCATTTGTTCCATCTCTATAATTAATTCATTTTTTACAATTCCTCTGGAACCATCATCACACATGAACAAGAACTATTAAATGAAACCACCCGTTTTAATTGTTTGACTCTGTTTTTTAGAAAAACCGACAACTGCACCAGCAGCTAAGAAAGCAGAAGTGGAAGGAAAACTTTATTTTGTATCAGAGCCTCAGAGTATCAAAGTCATGGAAAGTAAGAACTCTTTTCAAAAAAGTACATTGTCTTCTATCTGCCTATACCTTTTCTTTGAGATTATGTCCTGCTGTCGTAGACAGCTGGAAAGACTCAGCTTCCTCATTTGCATCTTTCTGCAGAAACTGTTGCAACATTTATTGCAAAAGTTGGAGGAGACCCAATTCCAAATGTTAAATGGATGAAGGGAAAATGGAGGCAACTCAACCAGGGAGGTCGCATTATAATCCAACAGAGAGGAGATGAAGCCAAACTAGAAATAAAGGATGCAATAAAAACTGATTCTGGCATGTACAAATGTGTAGCTTTTAACCAACATGGAGAAATTGAGAGGAGTGTAAACCTACAAGTTGAAGAAAGAAAGAAAGAAGTTGTTGAAGGGGATCTCAGGGCAAAACTAAAAAGGTATATGGAAAGTTTTTATAGATTAATTTGCCATCAACAGAGAAGAAACATTTTTTATTATATAACTCAGATCAATATATAATTTTTTCATATTCATTAAATATTAATAACTGTACTAAAAATAGAAGCACCTGACTAGACTAAAGGATTCCACTGCACAGGGCAGCTCTAAGTTGATTCATTTTTTCAGTGAACAACCTTCCAGTAATGAAGCATTGTATATTTAACTTATGTCATTGATTTGAATAGCACTCCAACAAAAAGGAAGGAAGAGGAAGAGCAACCTATTGATATCTTGGAACTTCTCAAAAATGTGGATCCCAAAGAATATGAGAAATATGCTCGCATGTATGGAATTACAGATTTCCGTGGTCTCCTGCAAGCCTTTGAGTTACTAAAGCAAACCCAAGCAGAAGAAAGCCATAGATTGGTAAGATACAGTGCAACTGCAGCATTGGCTTTGTTAAGAATAACATGGTTCCTTTGAACAGACTTAGTGTCCGTGCTCTGATGTTACTGTGTGTGCAGGAATCTCTGGTTCTTCTTTAGACCTTTTACTGATAATTCTCAATTTCTTGCATGCTCAAACCCAAGAAGAAGGAATGGGCCTTCTGGGCAAGTATGTTCTGCCTTCATAACTTGCCTACAATTTTTAAGATAGAAAGATATGCTACTGAAAGTATATTTACAGAAAACTTGATGTAGGGACAAATTCTATGTTAGATAAACATGACAGCATGACATTTAGTATCCTTTAATCTCTGAGTATATTCTGCCTTTTTATAGGAAATAGAGCTCACAGAAAAAGCTCGAAGAGAAGATCAGGAGTTTGATGAACTTGTAGCTTTTATTCAGCAACGACTCACACAGACAGAGGTAACTTATTTTTGGACTGAATTGTGAAATATTCAAACCCGTAACAGGGAACTGGAAACTAATTTAATCTAATATTTTTCAGCCTATTACTCTCATCAGAGACATTGAAAATCAGACGGTTTTAACAGATGAGGATGCTATCTTTGAATGTGAGATTAAAATTAACTATCCAGAAATTAAACTTTCATGGTACAAGGGAACCCAGAAACTGGACTCCAATGACAAATATGAAATTAGAATTGAAGGTGATCGCCACATACTGAGAATCAGGAACTGCCAGCTTGAAGATCAGGGAAATTTCAGAATAGTGTGTGGACCACACATTGCCAGTGCCAGGCTAACTGTGATCGGTAAGTGTACTTTTGAAGTATGTATTTGAATTAATTTAAACTTTAATTATTCCACTGTCTGATGTCTGCTAAAATGTATGTTTTAACATGCTAATAGAACCTGCAGTTGAACGGCATCTTCATGACACTACTTTCAAGGAAGGAAACATATGCACGCTGTCTTGTCAGTTCTCTATCCCAAACGCCAAGTCTCAGTGGTATAGAAATGGGAGACCCATTAAGATAGGAGGGAGATATTCAACACAAGTCTCTGACAAAGTACACAAACTCATCATCAAGGATGTTAGAACAGAAGACCAGGGACAGTATACCTGCAAGCTTGACAATCTAGAAACAACTGCTGATCTGGCCATTGAAGGTTTGTAAACAGATACAGAATCTCTTTATTATGGTAGTGATAAACAGTTTCTGGATGTTCCATTATCAGAACAAATGAAAGTAAGAGGAATTTCTGAAAGATATATTTCCAAACTGAGAAATGGACTGAACAAGAAGTTTTGCTGTCTTTTCTTTTTGAACAATATGTGACATACCTGTGTAAGCTAGTATTTTTAACTAAATCGTCTTTACTAATGTCCCCTGACCTTCAATCAGTCTGAGTCATACTTGCTTTTATTTTCTTTTTCTCTGATACTCTTACATTTTCCTTAGATTTCCTCTTTTTCTTAATTATTCTTTATCTTTAATTTCCTTAATGGCTTCTCTTGTATATTTTATCTGCACAGCAATCTTGTTATAATTGTACTCTTATGTCTTCTAATCTTCATTCTTACATAGAAAACTTCACAGAAGATGGAATCCCCTTTTCTTACTCTACTTTTTCAAGACCTATTGTTACTATCTCTTATTATAATGTAGCTATTATTTTGAAAAAAAAAACAAACCAAAAAAAAGAAGGAATTATACAAGCTAAATGGATGGGTGGTGCATAGCAATTGATATATTTTTTGTTTCTAAAAACAGCGGAACCAATTCAGTTCACGAAGAGCATACAGAACATTGTAGTGAGTGAACACCAGTCTGCAACCTTTGAGTGCGAGGTGTCTTTTGATGATGCAGTTGTGACATGGTACAAAGGCCCTACTGAACTGAGAGAGAGTCCCAAGTACAGCTTCAGAAGTGAAGGTCGCTGTCATTATATGACTATTCACAATGTTACTGCAGAAGACGAAGGTAAAAATGCATGGAATATTTGTGCTGATGCCATTCTTTTATCTGATTTTGCTGTCTGATTTTTAAGTTATAGAGGCATATAAATATCAACGTTCTTGGCTATTGCAGGTGTATATTCTGTAATTGCTCGTCTTGAACCAAGAGGAGAAGCAAGAAGCACTGCAGAGCTCTATCTAGTAACCAAAGGTTAGTGAATTGGCTGAACAAAATTGTGATCGTAGCCATCTGCAAATTTGTGAGTTTTAAACATGATTCTGGAAAAATAAACAGTCCTAAAAGAAATTTAATATTCTTTTGCAGAAATCAAACTGGAGTTGAAGCCACCAGGTAAAGTTAATGAGCAAGACTGGCACAAGATCATGTCTGTACTATGTCATACATTTAGTGCATTGCTTTGTTTTATTTTTTATTTTCAAATCCTTTTTTTCCTGGTTACAATAAGTCAAACCTACACCCTGAAATAATATTCCTCATCCATAGATATGAGGAACTCTTTATTCTTATAAATAGTGGCAATGAATACTGTGGTAACTCCAAAGTCAGTTATATTAATGTCTGGGGTCCTATTTTGTACAATATGGAAGCCAAGTTCTTTAGAACACAGAAGTTTCTTTTTGTTTGAATGACTAGGGAATAGAACAATGAAGAGATATCAACAAATAGGTTCAATGTCCTCTGCACAACTGAAACAAAATAAGAAGGAGGCAAAATGGGTAGCAACTATCTCCTTATGATCTTATTTTCTGAATGTTCTTAAGAGCCTACTCCAAAATGATGCAATTATTTAGAAGTAAAATGAAACTGTGTAGAGTCTGGTCATACTGGAAGATTAATGCAATTATTTATCTATTGGTCAGCTAGCTTATTCTTGAAGAGCAAGCTGCAATCCTTGTATGCTAGAACAGAAAGATCAAAGCACTATCCTTGGGGAATATGACTATTTTTGGGGACAATATATTCAAATCTTTTTTTTTTTTTTTAATTCAATTAAACATTTTGATTTTCTAGATGTTCCTGATGCCAAGGTTGCAGTTCCACCTCAAAAACCAGCTGAAGGTAGAGTAACAAACCATACTCGTTCCATAGTCATGTTTTATATCTTCACTCAAGTAGCAGGACAATAGGAATCTCAGAGAAAAATCATAGACAGCTCAGTGATAAAATCTAGTTAATTGACGCTATGCAAATATGATATAAGCAAGGCTTGTCTTGGATAGGCTCATTCTGCTGTGTAGAAGATGAAAATTATACACAGGTAGTGGTAGGAATGAAGCCTTTTCTCTTAAAAGGAATTTATCCTTTCCATCGTGTTTTCCTATCAGTTTCTTGTTCATTCCATTTTCCTTTTATTTCCATTTTCCTCTTCTGATCATTCTTTATTTTCACCTTTTCTTCTTTTTGCTACAGAAATCTCTTTTAAACAAGCTGTCTGAATTGCTTTTCAAGGGGGGAGGGAAGGAACATAAATTACAAATATTCTTTTAAAGCCATACAATGGATTGATGGATTGCGTGTTTATTGCAAATGGTCTCTCCCTAGGCTCTGGTATTGGAATACAGACTACAAACATTATGTATATTTCAGTTACATTCAATAGTTTACTATGAACTTTAGAAGTTCAGTCTTATTGGTTTCATTTCCAAGATAATTTGGTAAATGCTTGCAGTGGCAGTAGGAGGGGAAAGAGTTGATATTTAGATGAATTACTAGCAGCAAAGATAGGAGAGTGATGGAAGTAAAGAAAATAAAGCTGAGAAGGTCAGGGTTCAAATAAAGGTAAACTGGGAATTCCTACTCAAAATATATTCTTCCAGCTACAGTGAACTGACAGAATGAGCACCACGTTTGCTTTTATTCTGCAGCTGCGATAAAATAATCTCATGTATTTTCCAAATGTACTAGGATTTTTCTTAATTTACAAGAAAACATCATCCTCACATTTTATTCCAAATATTTCATTTTTCCTGCAAGCTGCCCCTATTCCTATTCTTCTGCCTCTTGTTCCACCACCAGAGGAGAAAAAGCCAGGTAAGAATACTTAAATTATTTGGCCAGTGTGTACATGTTTCATTATAACTGTTTGATTTTTTTTTTAATTTAAATTTTAAAATATATTGTTTTTAAGCAGAAAAAAAGGTTCCAGTAAAGAAAGTCTCCAAAAAGGTGGTTAAAAAAGGTCCTGAAGAAGTCCCACCACCGAAAGGTAACTTTTTCCCTTTTGTTTAAAAAAAAAAATTAAAATAGTAAAATCACCTTGTGGAAACAAGGCAATTTATTTCAAATTACTTTGAATCAATCAAATATGTTTTATTTTTTGTCTTTATGTTAAAAACATACAAATTTAAAATTCAAGCTGATTAGAACTCCTTAAAAAATAGTCATTTCTTTAAACCATCTGTGAGGGTGAAGTTACTTCATTAACCATGAACATCCAATATGCATTGCAAATTCCAGGCTATGATATGAATAATCTATTGTATTCATTTTGTTTAAGTCCCTGAGGTGCTGCCAGAGAAGCCCAAAGAGATCAAAATAACATCCATGGCAAGGAGGGAAGAGATTCATGAAGAAAAGAAGGAAATATATGAAAAGCCCAAAGAAACTTATGAAGAATGGGAAGAAGATTATGGAGAAGACCATGACTATTATGTCAAAGAAGAAGGCTATGATGAAGGGGAAGAGGAATGGGAAGAAGCATACGAAAAAAGAGAAGTGACTTATGAAGAAAAACGAGTCATTCATGAAGAAGGTATCTTAATTATCATACCATTTTATTGCTTTTCTTTTCTCATATTTACTATTAAGGCAGCATTTTTGGATTCTTTTGGTTGGTTGGTTGGTTTGGGTTTTTTTTTTGTTACAATAAGTTGAACCTTAATATGCTGCCAAGTTTTAACTGGCACTTAATGATAAGACAAGGACTGTAGTATGGCAAGTATAGATGCAGATAGGAATTGATAGACTATGATTTGATTGTCAAGGGACTTTGTAGATTGGGACATCTTTAAAACCTAATACAAATGAGAAGTTTGTAAGGATAGGTGTCATTTTTAGTTGTTTTGGATATTTCTTCTATCATTTGCATGTATTCTAGATAAACTTGATTTAGGTTAAATGTTTCAGACATGAATTACTTAATGCTAATAGCTATATTTTGCAATTCCTTGCATGCTTTAACTGTCTTCGGTAGTAGTAACATGTATGCCTCTACAAACAGAATTTGGCTTTGATGAGAAACCACCAAACATGGAAATAAGCAGAAAATTTTACTGCAACAATTGGATCGCCAAAACTCTGTGTGTTTTTCAACTTCATAAACTTGTAATAGAACTAATAACCTCTCTGTATGTTGAGCCTTTAGACAGCGCATTTTTCATCATTACGTTATTATTTTTAAAGTGGTTGAAGTTCCTAAGAAGCCTGTGCCTGAACGAAAACCACCAGCAATTACAGCTGAAAAGAAGGAAAAGAAAGAAGTAACAGTTCATAAAGGTATGAGTTTCCTGCAAAACTAAGAGGAACATGAAGATAAATATCTCTCATATATCTCCTTCAAGCTGAACTGTGGTGGTTATTCATATTTTGTTGAAAGTGAGAGAATTCTCTTTATGTTGGTGAGTGACATGAGCAAGGCTCATGGCAAGCCTTCCTCTTCTCCCACCTCATATTTTTGAGCAGAGAGAGAATAGTGGCAGTGTTGCTTGAAGCACACCAAGAATTGCTGACAAAATCAAACTGAGCTTCAGTGATCTTTCCGTCTCACTGTATATTTGCCTTAGGCATGGGTGGTGCTTTTGAGACAGTGAATGCTGCACTTCTGAGGAGGGTCCACTGTATATCATCTGTATACAGGGTCCACTGTATATCTCGCAGGGCAGAGTGAGCCTGATTACCTGTTTCACAAATGCCTTCACCACCACTGTTCACCATTAGTGAACAATGCACTGATCAACACACAGGATTCACAAATTTTATAACATCCTAAACAAGAAAATAGCCAGTTCTACCTGGTTTGTGTCCGGAAAATAATCTGCAAGATGATTTAAACAGAAAATATATCTGAATCACTTACAGTTGTCAAGAAACCTGTTGATGAAAAAGTGGAGATAACCACTCAGAGGATTGCAGAAGAAAAAGTCAAACGGGCTGAGGGTAACTACTGTCTAATTACCTTAATGTTGTCTTTTCTTGAAAGTAGTGGCTGTTGTTACTTAGCTGATCTGCACACGCTTTGTCTTCATTTAACATGGGTCTGATCAATTTTTCAGTCTTTGAAATATCTAAAAGCTTGTGATGAATTGTATAAAAGTAAGATGAAAAGCTTTTTAGGGGAAAGTACTAAATGCAGATGCTAACCACAAATTCTTTAAGAAAGGAATTGAGTGTAAAATTGCACTGGGTGAAACAGTATGTTTCATTCTAAGCTGAAGATGTGAAATCCCCATCTACCTCAGATTTCCATATTGACCTACCAGGATGTCTTGGTTAATTGTTCAGTTATGAAATAAAGATGCATCCTTATTCTCTTGCTAATGACCTCCCCTTCTATAGCATTTCCTACTCTGCAGCAGGAGTCTATTAGTTGCAATTCAATAATGTCAGATTATGACATGTGTACTGAACACCCTGAGTTACCCAGCCCCTTTAGAAGAATAGCTGTAGATTATTTTGATCTCTTTGCTAAATATATGAGTGAATAACAAAATTTTAATGCCAACAGTTACGAAGAAAGTTCTACCACCAAAACCTACACCAATGATCATTGAGGAAAAAGTTATGAAAAAGGAAGGTACAGATCAGCATCTTTCAATTGCAGTTTACATTTTTTCCAGCACCCTCTGTGTTTTTTTGCTGCTTGTGATTATGTGGTCCTGTGTGCATGTACCTGGATCTATTGTACTAGTCATGCTGTGGTTGCTCTTAGTGCTTAAATAGTATGTGTACCATGCTTTTATCTTGCATAAAGTCTGTTTTTAACGTGCGTGTGGCTAGCCTTTTGATTCTTGTTTAAACAACCTACAGAATATTGCAGTGCGATTTAGCTTTTACTTCATCTATTCTGTCTGTTGGCCTGTGTTTACATAATATTGACCCAGTGTCCCAAAATTTCTTTGAAGAACCATCTTTGGAGTTCTTCTGATACACTATTTCCAAAAGCCTGTGGATGCATTTATTTTAAATTTTCAGGTTAAAGGTGTCTTTGTCTTAAGTCTTTAACAGATACTAAATATTATACTTGTACGTTTGTTTTGCGTTCAGTATTTCAGAACATGAATACTGACTGTCTAAATATGTTGAGGACTTAAATGTGCAATACAGATACAGATTTGATAAAAACTCACACGCTGACTACCACTAATGTGGATCTAGAATATAAAATACTAAAACAAAATCCTATCTTTAAAGTACCGACAGTAGAAACATGGACTGTTTCAGAAGAAAAGATGTCGGTTTCTGTCCACAGAGAAGAAGAGTATTCATATGCCACAGGTATGTACAAAACCAAAAATCTGTGCACCCAAATAAAAACAATCTTTTAATCCTGCTAGATTTTCTTTTAATCTTGTGTATGGCAAATTACATATTTAGACACATCGTATATTTGTCTTTCAATATGTATTGCTTCTTTTTGTTTGCTGTGTTATGTAGCCTCAGTTTTCTTTAGATTAATAGATGTCAACATTTCAACTATCTTATCTTAATATTGTTTAAATGCTTCTCTTTGAAGAGCCAACAGAGCATGAGAAAACAGTTGAAGAAAGATTCTTTGAAGCTGTTTACCCAATTGAAGGTAGATTGATTAATGAGAAGCTAATCAATATTTAAGATTTGTAAAACAATTTGAATCTGTAGTTAATAAAAACTCATTGTGAGATTTGCACATGCTGTTGGTTTTCTGGATGAAATTTTTTTACATATCAGTATATTTGTTCCAGTGACCTTTGTGTACTGGACACACATAATATCTTCTTAACAGCTTTTCAGATTTACTATGGACATTGATACTTCCTATCTCCAAATTTAATGTCTTTAAAATTCCTATTGTAGCACATAAGGAAGTCGAAGAGGAAGAAGAAGAAGAAATAATTTCTACAGAACTGGAGATCTCTCATGTTGAAGGTGAACAAAATCTTTGTATCATCATGTACTCCATTTTTCTGAACTTTCACGCTATCTGCCTGTACCACTCTTTACCAAAGGATAGCACATCAGAACTGAGAACTTTGCATCTCTCTATGGCTCTACTCTCAAAAGTTTAAGCCCTATTGCATTTCCAATTCTGATTCTTCTTCATCAGCACTTTCAATAATTCTATTAATACCTTTTTTTTGAGATGAGCATATTGTATCTGCCTGGTAAAACAGCATATTTTTTGAGATATAGTGTTTGCTTATCTAGAATGCTGAAAGCAGCCTGCTGTGATTTAACAATTTTTAGTGTTTCCTAAGTGTTCATTACCTATTTCTTTAAAGTGCCTGAGATACCAAAGAGGCGTGTTCCAGAAGAAAGAAAGCCTGTTCCTGTACCTAAAAAAGAAGCTCCACCGGCTAAAGGTATTTCTACTGTCCTAGAAAAAAAAGAAGTACAAAAACCAAATAAATTGTCTTTCATCATGTTATTTTCCATGTTTTCATATTTATGAATATAATCTCTATGTGGCTTTGGTTTTGCTTTATCTCCATATGCATTATTTGATTTTGAATTATCTCCATCATCCCCATACATTCTTTTTTTTTTTTTCATTTGTGCTATAACTTAGCTTACACGTTGCATTTGTCTCAGCTTTGACTCTTCTCTTTCCTAACAATCTTATGCTGTTGTTTGTATTTAAGTTGTGTGGCTTTTGCAGAGAAGAGTATGGTGTTTTTACTTCAACAGAGTGCCATGAAAGGTGATAGTGCAGAAATGTTAACAATGGACTTTTATACTGTATAATAGTGTCTTTCCTGTGCAGTCCACTGTATGTCCAAAAGGCTGTACATTGTATTGTGTTGCACTGCTCAGCTTCTTGCCCAGACAATATGTTCTATAAAGCATTCTTGGATTACTGAAATCTGGATAAGTGGTCCAAAAATTAAAACTCTCTCACTTTGACAATGTTTTCCAAAGTGCCTGAAGTCCCTAAGAAACCTGTTCCAGAAAAGAAAGTTGCTGTTGCTAAAAAGGAGGTGGCTCCCCCAGGAAAAGGTACAGCATCTTTTTAATATGGGCTTTAACCAGTCTTGTACTACTGTGCTGTTTTCCTACTATTCACTTCTCAATATGAGCATATGATAAATATAGTCTATGTCTTATGTTGTACGTCTGTTCTCATCTAAAACAAACTCAAAAACCTTAGAAAGATTACTTAAACAAATGTTAATACCTTTAAAGTTCCTGAAGTGCCTAAAAAAACTGTGCCTGAAGAAAAAGAACACATTCCTGTTCCCTAAGAAGAAACTCCATATGCCAAAAGTATACTTAGTGATGGAGTGTACATGTGCCTGTTTAATATCTTTAATTTGTTGTTGTTGTTGTTAACCTGTACATAAACATGTTTGTGTAAGAAATTGATTTTTATTGTATAACTCTCTGTGTATATATAACAGTTTTTAAGGCCAGGTAACATACTTGAGCAGCTCTTTCTTCAGTTAAGAAATCAGTCTTAAAGCACTTGATAGAATCAAACCATAGATTGGTTTGATTTTTTTTTTTTTTTCAAATATATGTTGCTCTTGTCTCATACCTTTTTATGTTAAGTGTATGAATGTGTTATGCGATATGTCTTGATATTCTTATAAATGGATTAATGAAATTCTATAATACTCCAATAAATCTTTGAAATACAGAATTTAGTTATCTTACATTTTATCTTTTTTAAGTACCAGAGGTGCCTAAGAGAGCTCCCCCAGAGAAAAAGATTGCTGTTTCAAAAAGAGAGGAAGCTCCACCACCTAAAGGTACACTTAAATAAGTAACACTCTTTTCTTGTTGTCTTAAGCATCTTGTTTATGTCTAGTTTTGGTTTTGACTGTTAAGAGAATCTGGTTTTAGTTGTACTTCAGTTATATTAGCTATGTATCTTTTGTGTCAATTTTGTGGATAACTGTGCTATAGATGGAGTCTTACAACACCTGTACTTTTAGTTACTTAATATTTTTATAATTCATATCTCTGAAGTGACAGAAGTACCTAAGAAACCAGCTCCAGAAGAAAAAATACCATATGTTCCTAAAGTAGAAGCTCCACCTGCAAAAGGTACAATATTGTTCATTGTAATATTTATTGTAGTCTTTAGAACATTCCATTTGTCTCAGCTGGCTCCACTGTTGTGTTTTGTAAGCAAAATATGTCCACGTGTAATCTTTTTGAAGTGCCAGTTTTGCACTTTATAAGTCCTAAAACTAAATATTTTTTTTAAGTGCCTGCAGTTCCCAAGGAACCTGTCCCTAAAGAAAAAGTATCTCCTGCTGTTCCTCAAAAAATTGAGGCTCCTCCAGCTAAAGGTATGCTTTCCAGTAAAATCAAAGAATATGCTGCTTCTCAGTTTCTGTTTATGTTCTGTATTGTTATCAGTGATTGATTTGTGGTTTCCCCGTGAATTCTGCTGTTCTGATTTAGTGACATTGAATCATTACTGTATGCTGTATGTGTTGTGCAATACTTATGAAAATATTATTTCTAAATATGGAATCTCTGTTATGTGTTATGTGCTCAGTACCCTTAGGCAATTCTTTGGAAACTTAGACAATGGAATTAGAAAAGCATACATTTAATATTATTATCTTTCAAAGTGCCTGAAGTGCAGAAGAAAGCCACTTTTGAAGAAAGAGTACTTATTACAGAAGAAAGAATATCTGTTGCCATTCCAGAGGAAATCCCGCCACCTGAAGGTACACTTTATACAGACAATAGTGAGAAACTTGTGCTTTGTCTGCAAGTCTGTTGTTCTAAGACCAATATCAGAATACACAAAATTTATATGTTTGTTATCACATACAAGTTTTGTGTTGAACATTTTACAAACCTGCAGGCAGTTAAGAGCCTCCTGAGTATCATTTACTATTTCAGTCTTGAATGCCAGGATCCAATCCCATTGACATGAATGGAAAGTCTACCACGTAGTACAGTGTTCTTTGTATCAGGCTCTCATGAAGTCATAGCAAGAAGTATGGATGTATAGTGTTGAGATTAGACTCCTCTAATTAGGAATATAATCATCCATTTATTGTACTCCCTACAAAGCTCTCTTTAGCCCCGAAGATAACAATACTATTCTCTGCAGTATTAGGTTCTCACCAGCATTTTTAGTTCACATTCTCATACTCAGGGAAGGTTGAGATCAGTTGTTTTAAGCTAGTATAATTCCACAAAATATCTGCTTCAGGATAGTTGGAATTAACATTCTGATCATTTTTACATAATAATGATGAATACAATACAATAACTAGCCAGTCAAGACAATTTAGATATTCTATTAAAAAGCATAAATGAGTTTTTAAAAGCAGATAAGGAAGTTATCTATCTAAAATATGAACATGCAAATATATATTCATAGGGATATATGCAGTGTTAATTTCTGTCTCCTGCAAATTAACACTTTACCCCAGAACAAGTTGATGTTTTCCCTGATACAGTCACATTTCTGATTCTGCACATTCCAGACTTTACTTTCAATTCTTGACCTACCCTCCTCATCTTGTTCCTGTCCTTCTTACTTTCATGTAGCTCAATCAAGGAGCAACCTCTGACTCTTTAACTGTTGTTTCCCCTCCCTCAGCTGTTGTAATGGGGAAGTCTGGGGAGCTGAGGCATTCTGGTGGACTGACAGTTGAACAGTGAAGAATATTTGAGAGATACAACAGCATACAGTAGGGTACATGGGGCATGGATAAAACACATAATTTAGAGCAAAAATATGTGTGTGCACAGCACTTTCTGTATTGTATGCATATTTGTCATTGTCATATAGAACTTGTAAGAATTGGTCTTCATCTTCTCCATCCATTGATCATTCCCTCTCTCCATCCACCAAAAATCCTAAAACTAATATTTTTCTTTAAAGAACCATCAGTTGAAGAATGGGATGAAGAAGAAATGGAGGAAGTGTCTATTTCCATTCATAAAGAAGAGATTTCTGAAGGTACAACCACAATTCAGGCATACTAGGCAAAAGCAAAAACTATTTTTTGGTTTGTACCAAATATACTGTGGATTAATATCTACTCTGTTCATAAAGAAAAAATTACTCCTATGTGAATATGTTTCATATATAAAAAACTTTAATGCCAAGAATGTCTACAATTTCTATTGCTTACTTTTGAGAAGTGTGGCAGTTAATCTTGTTTTGATATAGTGAAAATAATAAAGTATCTCTTGGATGTTGAGAATTATCAGCCTTTTAAAAAAATTCTCTCTTGGGAGTTCTTCTTCCACCACGTTGCCTGGATGAAGTAAAAAGTCCTTCAGAATACCATGGTGCATTCTGGTTCCACAGACTATTTAATAATAAAATAACTAATTTTTTCCACCTGAAAGTTTATTAGTGGTAACAATGCTATGAAGGACGGTAACACACACCGATTGATTCAATTTCCATTACAAGTGACACCATATAAAGTTTTTTTCAAGGGATGGCTTTAGTGAAGGAATCTTCTAGGCATTTGGGAGAGAGCCTTTCTCAAAGTGAGCAAATTCCCACATTAGTGAATTAGTGGACATACGAATGGAAAGCGCTGATCTAGTAGTTCAAATGCTGAGCATTTTCAAATACCACAGAAATACAGGATGAGAGCTAAACCTCAGTTTCATTTAAGTTGCTTGGAGCTTTTCCATTGGCTTCAGAGGGAGTGGCATGGTTTGAGTGTAGATTTTGTAATGCCAGAGGTGTCTGTTAGTAAAGCACACTGCTTATTCTTGTCTTACAAATATTTTATTGCTTACCAGGGCCATAAAGACAGTAATAGATGTCAAATACTTAAACTCAAGTATATTTTTATTTTACTTTTTTAAGTGACTGAAGAAGAGTCTTACTACATAGAGGAGAGGGTAACTGTTCCTAAAAGAGAGGAAGTCCCACCCACTAAAGGTACATGGTCTTTTCATTACAAAATAGTGGTTGTTTCATTACTCTGAGTTTTATGTTGCCACTATATGTTTATCTCAGTTTGTGGGGGTTTTTTGTATTAAGGAAATGTGTGCATGTAATAGTGATACTCCTCCTCTTTGTAAAACTATATATTGTAATCTTTTAAAGTGCCTGAGAAGCATAGGAGAGTTGTCGTTGAACCAAAAGTTCCAGCTGCCCCTAAGGAAGCTCCAGGAGTTAAAGGTATATAAGTTCCTCATCCGGGTGATGTATCTTCAAGGGGATTACATTTGTCTTACTGTCTTGTTTGTACGTATTGACATAGGTAGTGTCTACTTCCAATGATGAATGTCTGTCTTGTATTCCATCTTGTATTATGAAAAGTATTGTTTGTGTTAACTCAGTAAAACACGTTGTGATGGAAATTACAAACATTACACTTTAATATTCTTTCTCATCTTCCTTCTCATCTTGCTCATTTTTCTAAAGTTCCTGAAGTTCATAAGAAAGCAGTTCCTAAAGAGAAAGTACCTGTCCCTGTCCCTAAAAAAATGGAGGCTCCACCAGCAAGAGGTATATCAATGGTTTGAGCTGTTACAAAAAATGTGGTGGTTTTTGTCTGCATTCCATCTTTAACATATATGCATGCTGTTAAAAAACATATCTCATATATCAGATTTCTTCAACATTAAACATGCATTTATGTCCATTTGTCTACAATGTAGCCTGTGGCCTGTGTCATCTTGATGAGGTTTATGTGTTGTTTTGTCTTTTATCTTATGCTTGTTGGTGAAATCAATCAAATTTCTAAAGATGCACAATCTTTTTTAAGAACCTGAAGAAGAATGGGTGCCCACTTTTGAGGTAGAAGTTGAAGAACTTCCAGCAACCAAAGGTAAACAAACTGAGAATATTAATATCATGGAGATTTTTTTGTTTGGCGTTGCAGTATTTGTGATTAGGCATTTTACTTAAAAAAATTTTTGTTTGTTAGTATCTGTAACCTCTGTCTGGATCTCCCCTTTTGACTATTTGCTCATCTTTGTGTTATGGCTGTAAAGTACACTCTTCTGCAATGTCTCGTTTTTGTTGCTGTTGAAGTTTACTTAGCATTTTCTTTAAAAAAAAAAAAAAGATTAAGTAGAAAAAACTATATATGTCTGCATTTCAAATATTGCAATGAAATAGTCTTACACTTATTATTTTTAAGTGACTGGAGTGCACAGGAAAATTATCACAGAAGAAAAAGTTGCAGTTTCTAAAAAAGAGGAGGCTCCATCAAAAAGAGGTATATAACTTTTCAGAGCTACACAAGAGCAGTCTTGTTTCAGAATATTGATTTATATTTACAGCGTCTAATTGTTTAACACAAGCTGTAATGTTGTTTGCTGTCTTTTTTTTTATTTGACTTGAAGAAATGTCAAGTCTCTGCATTTGTGTTTTGTCATCTGATTATGTTCATAAACCGTGATTAATTCAAAATCTTTTAAATTTTTTTTTTCTTAAAAAAATGACAGCAGCGCCCAAGAAGCCTGTGCCAGAAGAGAAAGTACCTGTTCCAATGTCACGGAAAGTGGCAGCTTCACCAGCTAAAGGTATACAAGTTCTTTTAAAAGTAGGCTTCTAAATATCAGATGTCTGTGTGCACCATACTCACCATCTGCCTCATTAATCAAATCCCAGTCTCTTCTGACTTGATTATAAATTAAAAGGGCCTTTGTCTTCACACCTGCAAAAGAATGCCGAAGGTGACAGAAAACAGTCACAAACCTGCATTCCTTGCATTTTCTAGCCACTATTTAGCTTAATTGATCACTCTGGCTACTTAAGAGCTTTGGAAAGCTGAGTGAAGATATTTACTCAGTGAAGAAAAATAAATATGAACACATTTAGAAAAAAAAAATCCATGTTTCATAATATTGTCAACATTCAGTGAAGGGTTTCAAACTTACAAATATGTCCTCTATTTCTGTGATTTACTTGTTTGAAAAATGGTTTTGTTATGTATCCTATATGTGTGGTGTTCTGTGGTTTAATTACATTTCTGAAGAGCTTGAAGGCAATTTACATCTTACATTCATCTCAATCATTCCATCTTACTTCATGATGTGTGAATATGCTGGTTGCTTTTTGATGTCTTTTGGTCTATATATCTATTATTCTAATATTATATGGATTATTTTAGTAGATACTACTTTAATATTTAATTATATTTCCGCTGTTACTGAAATTGCACAGTCTAATTTATCTAGTGAATTAATTCCTGGAACGCCCCAAACTAGGAGTCTTCAAAATACTTAATGCGTATCTAGCTTCTATACATTAAAGCTTCAGCTGATCATTTTCTCTGTTAATTTAAATGTCTTTGTTTTGTATATCTGGTGTGATTGTTGTGTTTGTTAAAAGTCTCTTTGCTACGTACCTGTGTACTATTTCCTCATAACTGTTTGTCCATAATTCTTATGTATGAACTTCAGACAATGTGTGATTTCTTTAAAATTTTGGTATTCTTACAATGACTATCTTTGAAGTGCCCGAAGCACCAAAGAAAACTGCCAGAGAAGAAAGAGTATCCATTGCTGTTCCAAAAAGAAGAGTCTCTCCACCACCAGAAGGTACTCCTGCCCATGGATTAATCTATGAACAGACTCATGCAATACCACCAGAGCTTCAAGCCTGCTGGTCCGACACCTTTCTTGAATTCTAATGTTGGAATCATGGAATCATTTAGATTGAAAAAGACCCTTAAGATCGAGTCCAACCATTAACCTAAGAGTATCAAGTTCACCACTTATGTTCCACCACAGCCCCAGAAGAACCTTAACAGAGTTTTTGAGAAACACTAGAGAGATATTTTTCCCAATTACTCTGGGTGTGGGAGGTGTCAGGAAATAATAATCAGTTTTCTAAGAAATCTCAAAAGATAAATTTAATATTGTACATGATGTTGCACCAGAAAAAAATATTAATGTTAGACTCTGTCTTTGAAGTGCCAACAGAAGAACACTGGGCTATGTCAGAGGAAGTATCCATTTCTCTTCACACAGAAAAGGAGATTTCATACACAGGTATGAACAAACTGAAAAGGTTGTGTCCAAATTTACATCTTGTCATCTACCTAAAAAAAAAGGGGGGGAGGCAGCAAAACACAATATCATATCCTGTGCAGATCACCAGTTTATCCCAAAAGTGAAGCTTGTAGAATACCACAGGACAGTATTTCATTCTCACAGAAGGCTTAAATCTTTCCTCCTGGCTTACTGCTGTTGTTATAGTGGAAGCCCAACCATTTCACTAGATCCTCCACTGCAAATCTTGCCACCTGTCTGACCTTTGAGCTGAAACAGGGCAGCCTTTTCCTTCATTTATATTAATATGCTTTAATCTTCTGAAAAGAAAGCCAGTCCTTTCCTATTCTGTGACAGCAATTCCTCACCTAAATCCAAGGTGAATTGCTGAAGGTCAAATTAAAAACCTGTACCTCTGCTGTTCCCTGCCTTGCTGAGACACTTAGCACAATCCCGTATATTGGACCTGTCAGCTCAAGGGCTTTGAACAAAGTCCACAGCTTTGAAACAAAATTCATTGCTCTGTTATTTTTTGAGGCAATCTATTAATTTGTGAAAAATGAGCCACAAGGTGTCTCATACTTACTACTTTCAGACCTGCTGCTGTTCATAAAGCAGCATTATCATATTCATATCATGAAAGACATTCAATCACATCAGTGTGAGGTTAAATAATCTATTTAGTCTCTCTGTTGGAGAATGATGGAGGGACATGCAGATCATGAGTATTAAGAGGAGGATGGAAAAGGATCCTTGACTGGCTTTGTGTAAGGCAGGGGTAATATGGTGGCTGGTCTGGGAAAAAACGGGACAAAGCAGAGCGACATTAAATGCAACAGTTCTCCCATAGGATACTGAATAGAGGTGTTGTAGCTAGGACAAAAGAATCCAAAGGAACCTGACCTTCCTGGCAAGGGCACTCATACAGAATGCAGTGTTTGCTATCAAACCAACCAGTTACCAGTTCCTATCAGTTTTATTTAAGATTTCAAATGCAGATGTACCTGGCACTAACAGTTAAACATCAAGCAGGGCTCTGCCAGAAAATATTTTAAGAGCTGATCAGTCTTCATATTGTCTCAGAAATAACACCCATTTAGCAAGCATCAAGACTTGTGGCAGCCACTCACCTACACTCACTGGAATTTGTCATGAAGAAAGTACATAGAAATTCTCAAATCTGTCACTGACAATCAATTCCATCTCTTAAGAAGATCAAAAAAGATCTCCAATCTGTTAAGAAAATGACAAAGTTATTCTCTAACTTGCCAAGTCTAGTAGTCTCTCATACGTTAAAATGCTAGGATAATTTTCTGTGCAGTTTCCAGTTATATTGATCAAAAATGGCCCAAGATACCTGCCTCAGAAGACAAGAACCATGCACTGCTGTTCTGAAAAAGATAACATGCTGCTTAAACATAGCATACATTCTTTCCTGAATAAATCTTTAAAACTGAACATATTCACACCTTAATCTTTTGGAAATTTTCCTGCTCTTCTAGGGAGTGGCTCCTTGCCATGCCTGAACAAACAAACCACTTTGTAAAGCAATCAACATAAGAGGAAAAATACCTTCTTCACTGAGCAATTAATTCTTTTACATTTAGTTAGACCAGAGCTCTTATACATTGTCAATCACTCACTCACATGGGTTTTATCTGTGTGCTTCCTCATCTTCATCTACAGTTTCCTGCGCATATATTTTGTTGACAGTGATTGAGGACTCTTGGTCTATTACTGAGGCACTGTGAAGTGTCACTGCTGTGGAGACAGGCTGCCACAGAGGATAGTGGGATTTAGTGATTTTGTAATTGGTTGAATTTGGATTTTGAGTTCTGCCCATTAGCAAGCTTAAGTTCACTGCTGGCAGCAGTGGATGAAGCAGGAATCATATCAGATCATATTGGGATCTTGAAATGTTTGTTTTTACTTAACTGAATAGCAGCCTAATGGCTTCCACAATAACATGTCCAGTGTCAATAAGCACACTTGTCTTTTACATATCAGCCATGTATTTGTAAGATATCTTTTTCTGTTTCTTGCAAGAATATTTTTGCTTTTAAACAACACTTTTAAAAATTCTTAAATGTAAATGTACTGTATCTTTTAAGTGCCTGATGTACCAGAGAGGGCTATCATTGAAGAAAGAGTACCAATTTATCCTTCTAAAAAAATGGCAAGACCACCAGACAAAGGTATACTGGATAGAGTATTGAAATATGGTATAACTGTTTTTTGTGTCTTGTGTGTTCCATGTACAGTGAATACTAATTTGTTTTCTATGTAATCTTCTTCCCTTGGTTTAATTCTTATTTGACAATGTCTTGTGATCCCTAGCAAGATCTATGTGCTAAATTTTAAGATTCTTTTAATTGATATCTTTTCAAGTGCCTGAAGTACAGAAGACAATTGTCCGAAAAGAAAAGGTGTATGTTGAAGTTCCTCAGTATGAAGAGGAAGAAGAGATTCCAAAATATGAAGAGGTAGAAGCTACCAGATATGAGAAGGAAGTAATCCATTACAAGGAGGAAGTCCATCATTACAAAGAAGTTAGTGACTATGAAGAGGAAATTCCTCAGTACGAAGAAGTTCCTCAATATGAAGTGGAAGAAGTCACCCATTATGAAGAAGAAGGTGTGTATTATGAGGAGGAAGTTCCTGAATATGAGGAGGAAGAGTCAGAAGTTCCTCAGTTTGAAGAGGAGGCTCCCCCACCAGTTAGAGGTATACTTTAATTTTAGGATTTGTGTAAGAAAAAGTAGTATCTTTTCAATCTGTTAAAGTACCAAAGTTTTGTTTTAATATGTTCCAGTGTGCTTTATAGTGTGTCTTTTCCCAAGATGTTTGATGATTAGTATATATTGTAGAAAAGGTGCAGTGGCTGTATGTCTATTCTTTACTACTGCCTCTATAAATTTACACGTTCCACGTCATACGTGTTCATTTCTCTTTCTTATGAAGTCTGTATAAGCCACTAAGAAAATTTAACTGAGCTTTTTTGCATCCTTGTGTGGAATCCAGTTTTACTATCAAACTGTGCTTGAAATACTTAGAAATGTTTACGAGAATTCTGCAATCACAGACGAAAATATATGTTTATCTAGAAAATAGGTAGGGTACTTCAAAATAAGTTATTTAGGAACACAAGTCACACTGACTTCCTTTCAGAAATGTTTGAAAACCCTATAGTTGTTTATTTATTTCTTGAAGGGAATAATATATTTTTATGGTAAGAAAGATATAAAAGTTATATTAAATTTCCATATTATATAGTCCCGGGTTTAGGTGGTTTTCTTAGGAATTATTTTTATAATAATTCCTGTAAATTTTCAATATTGTTAGTCCAGGATGAACATACTGTTCACTACTTAGAGAGGACAACTAAGTCACACCAAAATCTTTGGTAATAAAGCCTTCCTACATCATGACATAAAGATGTAGACTAACTAGATCCATTTTTCTAAGAGTACTTAAAAATGTGTTTTTTCCAGTCCTGATTCAAATAATTCCATAGTATCAGAATTTCTTTTGACTGATTAATGAATGCCAAAACTGTATTTAATATTTTTTGCACTAGAATGTTGACATATTGATTAGCACTTTTTTCCTAGTAAAGAAAAGGCCAGATTATATGTTGCAAAAGCCAGGTTAATCCTGAACAGGAAGATTAGGGTTAGCTAAAATTTTCTTTGACTCTGTCATACTTGTTTATTTCATATGTACTCCAAACTTTATTTAGTATGCTCAGAACCAGTGGGATTACTTTCCTGTCATCATAAAACTTGTAGGGTTATTTCTGGGTTTTGGAGTACACAAAACATTAACATGTATTTTAGTTGAAACCTATAAAGGGAAAGTATGTTGATTCCAGTAGAGTCAGGATTATTTCTTTTTTTAATCTAAGTAAACTACTCAAAAACATTGCAGTTAACCAACAGGTTGTAGTATAAGCTGCTGGGTACTTATAATGTGTCCGTAGTTCTGTGTTTCAAGTAAATCAGTTTATAAGCTTGATGTGCTTCTTTTTTACATGTAGAAAGCACTTGGAAATTTTTGAGGAAGAAAATGTAATGGCAATATGTATTAAATCCATATACAAAATTGGCTTTTTCAACATGACCAGATGCAACCTATTGCATGCCTGAGAAGTGTTAGGATCATAGCTCTAGGGCAAAATAAGGAGAACTAGTAAAACCACTAAATACTTAACACAGCAATTAAAGTTGTTTATTACAGTGTTTGTAATAAATATCCCAAAATTTGAGGAAAAAATAGAATTGTGTTTTTGCAAGTTTCCCCATCATGACACTTCTTAATCTTCTTTAATATCTGATTCTAAAAAGTCTAACTCTGTCTTAACTCAATCTTTTGATCAGCAAATAAGCCCTTGAAGTTAAAAACATTTTTATTGGCGACCTCAATGGCTGAGCAGGGAGAAAGAACATAATAGCAGTTAATATAATCTGTTTGCTATTTGATTTTGTCTTAATGAACAAACCATGTTAAATCATAGCTGTATGTTTTGGGTAAGTATTTGTGATCCTTGTTTGCGCTTTATGTTCCTGCTGTTTTGGAAGTAAATACCTAACACTAATGGTATCTTTCAAGTGCCTGAGGTTCCCAAGAAACCTATCCCAGAGGAAAAGATACCTATTCTGAAGAAAAAAGAAGCTCCTCCAGCAAAAGGTATATATAATCTCTTTATGTTAACAGGCATCCTCTGAATATGTAATTCACAGCATTTTTCAGATGCCTTACTTGATCATTACTTTTTTCTGTTCTTTTTGGAGGGGGCTTTTAATGTGAAATGTTTGTGCTGCTGTCTCCTTTGTTTAATTTCTGTTTTGAATAGCTTGTGGATTATTTTTTAACCAAAATAATGTTTTTGAAGTGCCTGAGGTATCAAAGAAACCTGTACCTGAAACGAAAGTCCAAGTGCCAAAGAAGGAAGTTCCCCCAGCTAAAGGTATATGAACTTGTAATTAGCTGTGATCAGAAAGGTCTTCTAGTCTTCATTTATCATCTCACTTTTGTTAAACACTAAGATAGTAAAAAGATTGTTACTCTTAAGAATTGTGGTTCTTTGTGTTTAATTGTTTAGTGTCACTGACTTGTACATCATGGTGTTTTAGATTCTTATGTCAAGCTAAATTTACAATAATATCTTAATAAGTTCCAGAAGTACAGAAGAAACCTGTGCCAGAAAAGAAGGTTCCTGTTCCATTACCAAAAAAGAAGGAAGTTCCACCAACCAAAGGTATATCAGCTCTTGACTGAATGTGTTAAAAAAAATATTTTTAAAATCAATCTTTGTTCAACTTTCCACTTTAATGTAATGTAGAGTGAAGAGAGTACTGTATTCTTGACAGTTCTTCTTTGTTGTTCTACTTTATTGGTTCATATCATTGTTCTTTACCTTATGGTTCAAAAAGAAATTCTTAAATTACAATAATATCTTTCAAGTGCCTGAAGAACCAAAGAAACCTGTGCCAGAAGAGAAGGTACTTGTCCCAGTGCCTAAAAAAGTGGAAGAACCTCCACCAATCAAAGGTACACCAGTTTCTGGTTCAACTGTATAATTCCAGTTTTGTTTCTTCAGCTTTAGAAGACTGCAAATAGCAATCCCATTCCTCGTCCTAGTTTTTGACTGAACCACTCACTGACCTGTTTGACCAGCACACTGTATTGTAACCATTTCTGTTAGTCATGAGTGTTATACTTATTCTACACTTCGAAAATTTCTGTTTGTCTTGTATTGTTTGTCTTGTATTGTCTCTGTCTTTTGGATCTTATATATCTAAATTATTTAAAATTACTTGCTCTTTCAAAAACAGATCCACCAAAACATAAACAATGTACCTAAACCACCAGACTTCCCCCTTAGCCTCACTACAACAATTTGTAATGCTGTCATCTGTATGTTTGTAAGTTTACATCTTAAAACAGGTGTGCATGAACCTGTGGATAAAATCAATGTTATCTTTCATACACAATTAATTTTACCATATTTGTGTAGTTATCTTAATATCAGTTATACTGTTATTATTTTACTGTGTTTTATGTTACATTGAAAATTAATTTCGTAAACAAAAATGTCTTTAAAGTGCCTGAAGTGCCCAAGAAAGTTCCAGAAAAGAAAGTACCTGTCCCTCTACATAAAAAGCCAGAACCTCCAACAGCCAAAGGTATCTCTTCTTGTAACTGAACATGTGGATGATGCTTCTTATTGTTTCTGTATGTTTGTTATTAGAATTTAACTGAAGTATCATAGCAATTTGTGACAAGTGTACTTGCTAATTCATACTCTTTAGCTTCTGTGTAAGTTGTCTGTCAGTTTCTGATGTTGTGTCTAAGTTTTCTACAATTAAATACTGTCTTTGAAGTGCCAGAAATACCAAGACCTCCCCCTGAAGAGGTACCTATTTTTGTTCCTGAAGAAAAAGAAGAGGAAGTGGAAGCTGTTCCAGAGATACTGGCAAAAGGTACACCATTCCTTCTTGAAAATTATCTGAGAGCTTCATTCTGTTCATTAAAAGATCTTAATCTCTATTGATTGTTTTAAGCTGGATGTAAACCTTAATTATCTTTCTGGTGGGAGTTTTCTTCATCTTATTGGTCTTTGTGGCTTTGTTCCACGGTTTTAGTAGTTTTGATGCTCTAAAAGTAATTGAAACTTTCTTATCAAAACAATATCTTTAAAGTCCCAGAAGTGCCCAAGAGAGCTGTTCCAGAAGAAAAAGTACCTGTTGCAGTTCCTAAAGTAAAGAAAATTCCACCAGCTAAAGGTATATCATGTTGTGGTGTTTGCAGATAGTTTCTCTCCCTTACATTTTCATATTTCAGTGGAACCTCATTTTAAAAATTAATTTATATTCATGTAAAGTCAGATCCTTGGTTCTAGCACCCCGTTACTACCCTGTAGTGAGTAGTGCTACGTCTCAGGCAGGGCTTGATTGTCTTTTTTGTTATTGACTTCAGTGGGCCAAGAATCAAGCCTTGAATGATCTGCTTGTTTTCCATTTTAAGTGATGGATGTGAATGAAATAATTCATAGTGATATTATTCTGAGGTAATGTTTAAAGTAATTTAAATTTTGTCTAAACAAAATACCTGGAATAATATTTTATAGGCCTTTACTTGGAAGTTCTTCAGTTCAGGGAGAGCATTCTTTATCTTGAGAGTATGCTAAAATCTCAAGCCCTTTTAGCTAAATTATAAAAATAGAATGAAATCACAACTGACTTCTAAACATGAAATCCAGAGTGGAGTCAGACTATTGCAGAGGCCACACTTTGGTGCTGAGTTTTTTTGAAACAAACAAACAAAAAAAAAAAAACCCCACAAAAGCAGACACTGGAAGTTTTTTTATGTAAAAAATTGATGCTAATAATCTTCTACATCCTTTCATTTATACTATATGTTGCTAGTAGTTTCCATTGGCAATTAAGCTGTGTAATTAAGAATTGGGCAAAAGAGCTAATCCTCATATAGCCCTTATAACCCAGTTGCACTTTCCTGTTTTCAAGGATTGAAAAATAAGTAATAGAGTTTTCCTTGGTTTTATTACTATTGTTACTTTAAAGTTGGTGTCCTTGTGTTTTAAGTTAAGAATTTTTCTTTGTGATATTGTGAAAGTAAAGTTCTTAAAATAATATCTTTAAAGTGCCTGAGGTGGCAAAGAAAGTTGTACCTGAAGAAAAGGTTCCCATTTTTGTTCCTGAGGAAGAAGAAGAGGAAACTGTTCCAGAGAAAACTATACCAGTAAAAGGTACACAATCTTTTCTTGCAAATTACTCATGAGATCTTTTAGGTTCATTAAAATTTATCTTTACTTCTTGTTCTACGTTGTATGTAAAGCTTAATGATTTTTTTGGGGAGTTTGTGATCTTGTTTCATGTTTTTTCATGTTTTTAATGCTCTGAAAGTAATTTTAAAATATATTTGCAAAATAATATCTTTAAAGAGCCAGAGATTCCAAAGAAACCTGTACCAAAAGCAAGAATACCTGTAACCACTCCTGAGAAACTGGAGCTTCCTCCAGCAAAAGGTACATAAATTAATACCTCAGAAAACAATGTGTTGTTCTCATTCAGTATCGTTATTTTATTTTGTTTGTTATTTGTGTTAGTTTTGTGCCCCTCCTGTCTCTCAGAGTGTCTGTCAAATTCTTAGTGAAAAATAAGCTCTGCAATGGTTTGACTTGTTTGAGAAGTCTGCCTATGGATGTAAAGTTACTTGTTTTTATTTGTTTCATCTTTAAAACTTTTAAAATACATTCTACAGATCAGTTCTTATTTCATTATGTCTGTTTGTATATGTTTTCTGTTGTCTTTCTCATACCACTGGCATATGACATTCTTAAAAAAAAAAATGTCTTTAAAGTACCTAAGATGCCTAAGAAGCCTGTTCCGGAGGAGAAAGAACCTGTTCCTAAAAAGTTGCCAGCTCCACCAGCCAAAGGTATTGCAGTGTGTATACGCTGTTATCATTAATAGATAACATTCTTCATGCAAGTTGAATTTGGCAAGGGACATTTTATTATGTCTGTCTTGTATTATATTTGTCACTGTAGTACTTGTTTGTTTGTAAGTTTCTGTTATGCTGCTCGCAAGTTTCTGGGTTTGTGTTTATTTTAAAATTGTGCAAAAGAACACTGAAGTTAGGTCCTATCTTTAAAGTACCCAAGATGCCCAAGAAGGTTACTCCTGAAGAGAAGGTACCTGTTGCCCCCCCTGAAAAAGTGGAGGTTCCAGCTGCAAAAGGTATATGTACTCTTGATTATAATTAATATTTATGCTAAAAATATTCTTGACCTTCTTTCTAATTTTTGTCTTTGTTGTATGAGATTTCTGCTTGAATTTGTTAAAACTCTTCATTGTCAATGTTCGCATTGTAGAATGAAAATTTTTAATTCTTTTAATTCCTAAAAGAAATCCATATCTTTAAAGTCCCTGAGGTGCATAAAAGAGCAGTTGCAGAAGAGAAAGTGCCAGCTGTTGTGCCCAAACCCAAAGAACCAGCACCAACTAAAGGTACAGATATATTTCTTCTTATTCTTCCCAATGATTTGTTTTCCCTCCTTATTCCTAAAATCTTTTCTAATATGTACTGTTTCAGAAGCACACTCTTATATTTTAATGAAGTTTGTGCTTGTAGTTATCATGTTCATTATCTATGTCAATCATCTTGACTAATTATAAAAAAAAAAATTAAAAAAAAAAAAATTGTAGAGTAGTAACAATAATACTGTTTCTAAAGTGCCAGAAGTATCCAAGAAACTTATCCGGAAAGAAAAAGTACCTGTTCCCACTCCTATGGTGGAGAAGTATGAGTATACATATGAAGAGTATGAGAAGTACGAGACATACGAAAGTATTGAAGAGTTTGAGAAAGTTCAGGAAATTGAAGAAATTGAGGCATATGAGGAACCTGAAGAACCTGAGAGATACAGGGAGATTCAGGAACAGGAATATGAAGAGGAAGCTGAGGAGAAAGACGATGTCTATGAAAAGTATGATTTTAAGGAGAAGGAAGAGATCTATGAGAAATATGAAGAAGTATATGAGGAGGCTTATGAAATCCAACCAGCTATAGGTATATCAAGTTACAATTTCTTTATTCTTACAGTTTGTTGAGTTGCAAGCTACTGCTTAAGCTTCCTTTGGGTGTTTATTTATGTTTTCCCCTTTTGTAGTCCTATGTGTGTCTATTGCTAGTAATGATAAATCCATTCAAATATTGTTTCTCTCTTACTGCTTCCTAAGGAATTCTTCCCTTCAGAGTAGAATGGGAAGATTCCTCATGTGATTGCCCAAGAGTGAGCTAGTGTAGACATGACACAAGCAAAGTAAATTATAATTTTCTGATGCGGTTCA